CCATGTATTATTTGAAAATGTTCTTTTGAACTTCCAAAGTATTTTTTCTTCCTAAGTGTTATCTCAGCTGATTTGTAATAACAACTGGAGTTGTATATTATTGATTTTCTGATAGTGAGATTTGTTTCAGAAGCAAGCATTTGGTCATATTTATTTTGGACCCAAGTATTTGTAAATATTCTCTGTATGAAAAGAACACAGCCTTAGTAATTTGATAATAGACAATCAGTGCAATAAGCTTGTAAATAATGTTTTAGAATTTGTCTTCTTGCTAAGTTAATGTCTGCTTGCTCTTTCAGTTTTAATATTTAATTATATTAATATAAAATTTGGTAACTCCACTTAAGCAAGATGTGGGGATGAAGATGATACTGTTCAATAAACTGTGGTTAGATACTTTATAGCTAGAGAGAAAATAAGTTGAATCGATACTTCATAGCACATTCAGGAAAATCCAAGTTGATTGAAAACTTAATACAAAGAATGAAACAATAAATTAATAAAATGAAACCAAGATAATTTCTTTATAGCCTTGAATTAAGGAAGGATCCTAAATGCAGAAAACATATAAGATTAATAAACCTGACTACATAAACATAAAAAATTAAAGATAATAAAACTACTATCAGGTTCAAAAGAAAAATATCAAGTTGGGGAAAAAATTTGCAACTGTTCTCACAAAGGGTCAGTCTTTCATTAATGAAAGAACCTCTAGAAATTTCCAAAGCTTAATAACTCTGTTATAGAGTAGGCAATTACGAGTCTTATTACAAAAAAGTAAGTAGAAATGATTTTATTATAAAGAAGTAAATAGAAATGATTTGCAAGCATTTTCCTCTTTTTACAAAGAGGGAAAATGACTTATCTCCTCTACAGTTAGATACAGCATTTTCACATTGTCAGAAAAAAAATCAAAAATTAAATGCTTAATAACGTTATGATTTATAGTACTGCAACAGGCAGTACTATAAACTTATTGCAGGAAGGAGCATATACATGATGACAATCCTCCTGTGGAGGGGATATTTGGCAATATTATCAAAATTACAAGTTACATGGTTTTTACTGAGTTTTTTCACTTCTAGGAGTTTAAACTTTATTGATCAGGTATTTCTGATCTTGAAAGGGTTTTTATTAAGAGTTCAATCATTTCCAAATACCACCATATTTAACATAGAGTATAACAAAAATTCAGTTATTTTATCATGAGTTGGCACCAATCCTCTAAATTTTCTCTTATGGTTGTTAGAGATGTAACATGCAAAAAATATCTCACAGGTTTTTTCAGTTGTCTCAAAAATGTATTTTTACATAACCTCAGTGTGGAGCTCTGTGGTTTTATGGCAAAATGTGTTGCTTTCTTTAGATTTTTAAATATAAGGATGTACTTAAACTTAGTGGTTCATAATTGGATAATGGAGTTTATATATGAATATATAAATTATATTTTTAAAAGATTTATTTATGTATACAAGAGCTGGGATGCAGGCCAGAGGTGCAGGGGGTGAGAGGATTCACCAGAGACAGAACAGGGAGCAGAACAGGCTGCTGTTCTGATGAGTTCTGATGAATTATACTGATGAGGGGAGCAATGGGTGGGTCAGGAGAAATCTGCTGCATCAGCATCCTGGCTGCCTATCTTGTGCTGCAGTTGCTGAGGACAGCTTCGTAGTGCTGAGACTTAACCACTTGCACCACCAGGGACGACCCACATAAGAATTTTTTTTTAATTTATTCATTTTATGTATATAGAACTGGTGTACCGACCAGAGGTGCAGGGGTGGTGAGAGGATTCACCAGAGACAGAATGGGGCGCAGAACAGGCTGACTGATGAAGTACACTGCTGAGCAGAGCAGCAGACCGGTCAGGAAAGGTCTGGGGGGCCCTGTGGAGCACCTTGGGGGCTGGGGATCGAACTGGAACTGAAGTGGCTGAGGCTGACTTGCAGTGCTGCGCTTTCACCTGTTGTGCCGCCAGGAAGGGTCCACACAAGAATTTTAAGTAAAAGCATTATATATTGCTGTTTTTCTTTAATAGGGCAGATGAAAAGAAGAGCATGAACTGGAAGCAGCTTCCAAAAAAACCATGCAAAAATCTACTTAGCACCTTGAAGAAATTGTATCCCCAGTTATCTTCAGGTAAATGCCAGGAAAAAAATACAGATTTTAATGAAAGAACATAATATGAGAAAATTCTTCTTAAATTGAAACATTTTGATTTGCTTAAAAGAAGTCTCATTACATCACAAAATTCCAATAATAAAAACAATATTTGTTTCATGATTTTTCGAACATGTTCTTTTCAGTTTGCTTGATTGAGCCTATTCTCTGTGCCCTATCTCCCTGTTAACCCGTGCCAGTGATTATTTTAATCACTGGAGAAAAGAATTTTAGGAAGTAACAAAACAAACTTTATTTTGATAATGTTCTTAATCATGCCTTAATTTCATGTACACATGAAATATATTTATATGCTCTATATATTAATGTCATTTTCTCTTCTTCGTTAGTTCATCGAAAAACTCAAGAGGGTTCAGCAATTGAGATGACTCCAATTGAAGCCGATTTCTCTTGGCAAAAGAAGATGACACAACTTGAGATGGAAATTCAGGAGGCGTTTTTGCGCTTTATGGCATCTATTTTAAAGGGATATAGAGCATATCTCAAACCAATCACAGAAGCTCCTTCAAATAAAGCCACAGCTGCAGATTCATTGTTTGACCGACAGGGTAAGAGGCGTTGAAAACACAGTAACAATACCTGTTACTGAAATGAAAAGTATATTCTATTTACTATTGCTTCTAGAAAATATCTACTAATTAAATTCTAGAAATTTATATTAAAATCTAATATGAATCTGTGTATATGTAATTTAGTTTATGAATAGAATTTCTTTGATTCATATTCCCTGCATTTTCCTGAGAAATTGGGAACTAGAAGTCTTCAATTATGAAAAATTAAAGTTATATTTCTTTACTTTTACCCAGCAGTTACTTTTTAAAAAAAAAAAAATCCTTCTGTATTTCCTTTTGTCTTTTATCATCTCTGCTTTGCTATAATTAATCTCTTAAATATTTAATCATCATTTATCAAGTCCAAGTAGTTATTGTTAGGGATATAAGTAAATATAAAATATAGCTCTATGGGCTACTAAATGGAAACTAAAGTAAACTAAAATTTTTAAAATGTCAAAGTAGTCATGAAAACAAGTTCATGCAATTCAGTGAGAAGTTCTTAAAACTCAGAAAAAGGGGTATTCTATGAAGCCTTCATAGAAGAGCATGGCTTGGAAGAATATATAGAGATGAGTAGGAAAGACTTTCTAAAAAATAATAGGCATTAAGAGTCAAATTTGAAGGACATTGCTGGTGGTGCAGTGGTTAAGTCTCAGTCCTGTCTCGTGGCTGCAGTTGCTAGCCACTGTAGCATGAGTTGTATCATTGGCCGGGTAACTGACTAACCCACATGGTGCAGCAGGCCTCTCTTGTCTCTCCCCTTACTCTCCTCAGCACGATATTTCAGTCAATCCGCCTGTTCTGCTTCCTACTCTTGTCTCTGGCAAATCCTCTCCGCCAACCCCTGCACCTCTGGCTTTACCCCAGTTCTTATATGCATAAATAAATAAATTTTAAAATAAATAAAAATACCTATAAAGTTAGAACTCAGGTTATGGATAATGTTAAATGCTAGACAAAGAATATGAAGTTTTTGAAATGGGCCATGAGTCATTATATATTCTCATTCTTTTCTCCTCTTTCTTCCTCTCATCTATGCAGGGAAATTTATGAATATGGATACTTTTGCCTATTTTTATCAGGATAGCATTTGGATTTATGGGTGTGTGTGTGTGAATACAGACTTTAGATAATAAAATGACAGGGATACTAACTGCATTTTTACTAAGCGTGCTGTGAAGTGTGTGTGTATATATGTGTATATATATATATGCATACTCACACTACACATATGTGTGTGTATGTATGTGTGTAATAACTATATATATCTATATATATAACATATGAAGTGAGAATACTGGGTCAGGAGAAAGTTCCCTGAAGAAGTAATAAGTTTGGGCCAAAAATAATGAAGAGGAATTAACTATATGATTTGGGTTGCCTTTTCAGTAGGGATATTTTCACAGATATGTTTGAAAATAGAACAATAACATGCCTTCATATCTTCCAGTTTTGGCAAAAGTAGCAGTTAAAATTCTGCTTTTGTTTCATGCACTTTCAGTTTTTCCTCCTTCTATCCTTCCTTCCCTCTCTCTTCAAATTCAAAATAGCATATTGTTCTACCCATAAATTGTTAGTCATTCTGGATTTGTATTGGTTTTAATTGATTGTGTCCCTTGGGTGTTATTTAACACATCTCTCATGATTTGAAATGAATTTCATATTTTTCTTGTGGTTGGACCAAGAGCCACATTGTCCAATAGAACTAGTGTAAGTAAGCCACATATGTAATTAAAAACTACCTAGATATACAATGGAATATTACTCAGCAACCAAAAAGAGAAACACATGTCTTTTGCAGCAACTTGGATGGAGCTGGAAAAGATCATGCTTAGTGAGATAAGCCAGAAAGAGAAAGAAAAATACCGGATGGTTTCACTCATAGCAGGAGTATAATGGACCAGGCGAGAAAATAACAAAAATAATGAACAACCATATACTAGAGACATTTTGCGGGGGTGGAGTGGGGAATGGGATCAAAAATGGGGGGGGGTGGGGAAGGGAGGGAAATGCACGAGACTATGGTGGTGGCACAGGGGTGATCTGGTGATGGGAAACCCGCGGGGATTACAATCGAGATGTAAAAAAAAAAAAAATGTGCAAAATGATGTAAAAATAAACTTTGTAATAAAAAAAAACAACTACCTAGTAGCCACTGTTTAAAAAAAATAGCAATGAAGGACATTACTTGCTATAGTATATTTTCTCTAGTCTAAGATATCCAAAAGAGTATGTTTTTAAAATATTAGTGAACTGTCTTACATTCTTTTTCTATAATAAGGGTTTAAAATTGGCATGCATTTTATTTACTTACAATACATTTCAGTTTGAACCAACCGCATTTCAGGTACAGAATCCCGTATGTGAGTAGTAGTTACTGAATTGAACAAAGCAGAACTAGAGCTTAATTAGAATTAAGTTTAATTTTCTTGACAAGTAGTGCCAAATGCATGATATATATACTACTGTCTACAATAAGACACATGCTTGTGTGCTTTGTCCCACTAAATTAACCAGTGTTGTCAGTAATAAAATGAAGTTTGTATTCTACAAAGATCATTCTGAGGTTTAAAAAAAAATCTCTTTCACATCAATGCAGAAATTGAATTGGAGCTTCCGAAGAATGAAACTGTTAATTTGGAGGTTGTTGCATTGGTCCAAGTGATCATTCAAGTAGATTAGTTAGTAGAGTTATGTATAGAAGAGTGACTTATAGAAGGTAGATTGCCTGAAACTTGATGCTTGAACAAGGTAGACGGAGATTCCAAGAGCAACTTTGAGATTTTTTATCTTTTAGTAGTCAAGTAGATGTTCCTTTATTGAGAAGGGAAATAGTAAAACAGGGAAAGATTTAATTACTTGTTAAAGTTGTATATGTGTGTGTGTGTGCGTGTGTTTTTAAATGTGAACAAGAGACTTCAGTATGCTGATGAGAAGTATGTATAGAGAAGGAGAATTATTCTGCAAACCCTGGAGGTGCTGGGATTCCAAGTTCATATGGTGGATTTGACCTTAGATAGATTAAAGGATATATCTATTGTACTAAAAGAGTGAAGGAATAAGTGAGAGCTTACAGAAAGACTTACAGATTTTCTAGTGAGAAAATAGTTCTCATTTAATATTTTCATTTTCTCTGCTATTTAAGTTCTCATCATCAGAGATGTGAGAGAATACAGGGAGAACATCGAAAGAAATAGCTATGAAAACATAGATAGAGGAAAATTAAGTTGATTCTAGATATGTATGGGCTTTCTGGTCAGCAATGAATATATAGTGGTTCTGATAACCACATCTTGATAACATCCTGATAACAGGATGTGGAACTCTTTTTTTCTCCTTTAACTTGAATAAAGAGAATATAATGTAGACTATATACAATTTTAATGTTTTATATAACAGCTAGTCCTACATAAAATTTGAATATAGTTGTCATTTTGGTGTTTTTCAGGATTTTTAAAAAGTCGAGATCGCGCCTATACAAAATTCTACACCCTTTTATCCAAAACACAGATTTTTATTCGTTTCATTGAAGAATGTAGTTTTGTAAGTGATAAAGATACCGGATTGGCATTTTTTGATGACTGCATAGAAAAGGTAAACGTTTGTTCTAAATATCAGTGTTAAAGAAAAACTTTTTAACAGTCTGGCTACCGGTGTGTGTGTGTGTGCACGTGCGTGCGCGAGCGTCCTGATTCTGGACTTCATTTAAGAATCCTTACGCTTTGTGGTGTGCAGTATTTATTGCACAGAACAAATTTTTCTCTTTGAATATCTCATTTTGTTTTTCTGTCTGTTAAAAAACTAAGACCATTTCTCAGTTGAATCACCCGTCTTATTTTTTTTATTTAAATGAATAAGAATATGTAGTAGTTCACTTTTCTTAGAAAGTTTAGTTTTATATGTAACAGAAGTCCTATATTTTCTTAATGTCTTTTCAAATACTTTTGCTAATTTTTTTCTTTTGGCCTAATTAAGGATTTAAGAAATGGGTTAAATTTTAAAGCTTTACTTACCCAAAATAACTATGGAAGTTTGCTTTTTGACCATGGTGATTCCTTTATATATGTATTTCTCATTTAGATAGCTATTTTCTAAATGAATTTTGGGCTACCTGTTTATGGGCAGACCATGGTTATATTAAATTTGGAATTGTTTCCAGAAAAGGTAGATTATTATATTGTAATTTTTTTACAATATAATAATCTTTATCCTGGTAACATTGATTTTACAATACTGTATGATTTAAGGATGTAGATACATGTTACTATAACACCATATGTACTGCTAAAACATCCATAATTCTTCTCTGTAGTTCACTGGAATCTCTCTCCTTTCCCCCCATTATAAGAGCCTCAATTCTGTGTTCAAATTTCTAGAGTTTATTTTCGTTTGGTTTTGTCAGTTCCTTTGTTTTGTTTCTTTGTATTCTGCATATGACTGAAATAATTTTCTCCCTCTTTTTCATAGCTGTGTGGTATTCTTTTGTGCACATACACACATTTTTTATTTGTGCGCATTTGTCATTGGGCACTTGATTATTTCCATAACTTGGCTATTGTAAATGCTGCTGCATTTAATAGAGAAGTGCCTATATCCCTTTGAGTTAGTGCTTTTGTATTCTTCAGATTTAGGGGTGGGATTGCTGAATTGTAAGGTAAATCTATTTTTAGTATTTTGAGAAATGTCCATACTATTTTTCTATAGGGGCTAGACAGTCTGCATTCTTACCAGCAGTGTATGAGAGGGTTCCTTTTTTCCCACACCCTTGCCAACACTTGTTGTCTCTGTTCTTTTTTAAGACGGGCCACCTCGAAGGTATATGGTAGTGTCTCATTGTAGTTTGGATTTGCATTTCCCTGGTATTAGCATTTTTTTCATGTGCCCTTTGACTATGTGTCTCCTTCAGAGAAGTGTATGATATATAATGATTTATATTCCTCAGCAGACTTAAATTATGTTTTTCCATTCTATGAGTGTGATCTAAAACTCTTGGAATATTAGAGCTTCAGGTTTTTTTTGTTTACTTATAAAATTGATGGTCTAGTCGTCTAGTTAATGAGAAGCTGAGATATTATCAACAATAATGTAGAACTTGAAATAGTAAAAATTTTTATTGGAAAAGCCAGATTCTCCTTTTGATTGGCTACCCATTTTGTTCATGAAAAATAATTTATGAAGAAACTAATTAAAATATTTTCTATTCTTATAGCCATAAGAGAAATGTTTTATTTTAACCTAATAATATATGCCCCTAGAATATATCATGAAATGTTTTGTCTGGTACTGAGTTTTTTTTTAAAGAATTTAAGATATAAGATTGTACTAAATTTACAGTTGACATTTGCATTAAGCACGCCTTTTCTTTTTCAGTTGTTTCCTGATAAAGGCACAGAGAAAACAGATAAGGTATTTTTTCTTACACATTTTTAAATGCTGTAATTTCAGAATTAAGATATATCTTAAAAGTAAATTAATTGGAGAAAATAATTATTTTCAGGTTGATTTTGATTCAGCAGAAGATACCAAATTGATAGAGCTTGATGATTCACAGAAAAGTGAGCATACTGTTTTCATAATGCCCCCAGAGCCACCTCCTGATGATGGAAAGGAGCTGCCATCAAAGTACAGGTAGCAAGGATAAGGATTAAAAGAAAAGAAAGTTGTCTGGGCACAGCATTAATAATTTACTTCTTGTGACTAGTTGTAGAAATGTGTATTTATCACTTGTGAAGGTCATTTCTAAATTTATTCACTGACTTAATGAAGATAAATATTTTATGAAGAACCTACCAGTTATTATTAAATTATAAACTAAGGATAACATTGAAGGGGAAGCCATATGTTGATTACTCTTTATTAAATGTTCGACAATATTTAAAATTTCTAAAATTTCATTTCTGAAGGAAAAATTTACTTTTGTGGGGTTCCCATCCCTTTCGTGGTTTTTATGATTGCTTACAGGCTAAAATTCTTACTCTTTCATAAGCTATCAGAGAATATTTATTTATTTATTTTTTAATTTAATTTAATTTAATTAAAAAAATTTTTTTTAAAGATTTATTTATTTGTGCATACAGAACTGGGGTACAGGCCAGAGGCTTAGGGGCGGTGAGAGGCTTCACCAGAGACAGAGCTGGCAACAAAACAGGCAGATTGACGAAGTACACTGCTGAGGGGAGCAACGGGCTGGTCAGGAGAGGTCTGCAACACCATGTGGTCACCTCCCGGGGCAGGCCGGAATCGAATTCATGCAGAAGCGGCTTTAGATTCTCTGTGCTGTGCTTTAACCCGCTGTGCCACCAGGGAGGGCCCACTATCAGAGAATATTTAAAAGTAGTTGTTCCAGAATTATTTTTTATTAAATAAATTTAATAAGATTTACATAGGAATTAAAATGAACTTGATTGTTTATTGTTATAATCATGATAATGTTCAGTTTAATAAACTTAGAAAATTCAAAAAACAAAAGGAAAACTAGCACATCATTTTAGCACCAGTATTTAATTTCTGTTAAATGTAAATCTATCTTTACTGCCTTTTTGTGCATAAATTTGCCTTTATTATACTTAAAACAAACACAAGTTCATTTTGTATATGTATTTTTTGTAATCTATGTTTATCTTTAATGGTTGGAACATGTTTCCATGCTGATAAATATTTTTTGTATCATATCATTTTGAATGGCCATATTGCATGCATTTATTGTGATTTGTTTAGTCTATTGTGAATTTGTTTGTAGTTCTTTGCTATCTATATCTTTGTGTATATGAAGTTATTTTCTTAGGTTCTGTTGCTGAAAGAATCTCAGGGCAAAGAAAGTATAAAATGTGTTTTGCAAAAATAAGAAATCAATATATAATCTCACCAGGACTAATACAAATGATGAGTATGTACCTGGGATTTAGTACTATTTTTGATTAAATGTTAAATATAGAATTCTTTTTTAATTTGGCAGAATCACTATACGTTGGCATCCAGTATTAGCAAAGTAGTCAGATGGAGCAAGGTGATATATATCTTAGAAAAAAGGTAGCCAAAGAAAATATGTAGGCATTTTCCAAGAAGAAATTTCACCAAATAATAATGTAATTAATGTATTGTAGTATTAAGAAATGTGAACCAAAATGATGAGTTGGAAACATTTTAACCTACTAGATTGAGGATAGGCCATGAGGATGAGTTAGATTCTATGCCAAAAAACTTTTTGGAAATAGCTTGGTAGAAATTTTGAGTCACCTGTTAAACTTAGCAAACTTAGTTACTGAGTATTTTCCTAAGAAATAGAATTATTCACAGGAATATATGTACAGCAATATTAAATCATAAAAATTTACAATTAATTAAAAATTTCTAACAATAAATAATTGATTATAGTGTTGCCTAAAATAAAAATACTATAGATATTTTCTTTTTAAATACCTATGCAAGAAAATTTTATGAAGAAACACTTAAAGTTATAAGATATAGTAAATATTTTAAAATATAAATTGTCACTCAACCCATGGAATCTATTCAGAGTATTATTACTTCCTCTGTGAAGTAAGATACCAAGTTTTTTTATTTTCCAGAAATTGGTTAAAATTGCATATAAGGTGGAGGTGGAAGGGCCCAAAATTTCCATGTAGGCAGTCTATGTGATCTTTTAACTACATCATCTTGTATTTTTGGGAAAAAAAAAATGCCTGTATAGGCGTTTGAGGAACGACAACTTGGTACTTATTTGAGGTTTAAGAATATTCACCTAATTCTGGAAGTTAATGTATTTTAAATCAGCAGATCTATTTTTGCTTTTTATTTTAGTTACAAATACTTTCCAAGATTGGACCTTAAGCTTTTTGACAGACCACAGGAGTTGAAACTTTGTTTTAGTAGACACCCTACTGGGAATAGCATTACAAACAGTCCAGCTCTCATGGCTAAGAGAACTAAACAGGTCAGATTTTCTTTATCTAATAAATATTAATTTACAATGTAAGATATGGATATGTGACATGCAGCTTATAGAATTAGAATTTTAGAATTATCACGCACAGTAACCATTTGAAGTCTTACCATGGTTGTTAATGAATTAAAATAGATTTCTTACCATCAAAATATTGAGATGGAAGTTTTTGAATGCTTATATTTACGCTTTAAGAAAATCCTTGGGAATCATATATACTTTTTAAAATGAAACTTTATTGAGATGTAATTCATGTATTCTACAGTTCATTCATGTAAAGTATAAACAATAATTTTTACTTTATTCATAAAATGGTGCATTTTAGAACATTTTCATCATGCCCCCATGATGAACATCCAGATCCCTTAACTACCAATTTCTCCTGATTTCTCTCTCCATCCCTGAGAGCCCAAGGCAATCACCAATCTCCTTTATCTTTTTATTATCTTGCCTGTTAGGGCACTTCATATAAATGGAACTGAGCATTTGACTATTTGTGGTTGGCTTTCTTAGCACAAAATTTTTAGGTTTATCTGTGTTGTGGCATGTGTTAGTACTTTGTTTCTGCATCGTAATCGATCACATGTATATACCATATTTATTCATTCATGAGCATGTGGGTTTTTACATTTTGGCGTTTTTGCTCATTGCTGCTATGAACATCTGTGTCCAAGTGTTTGTGTGGGTATTCTGTTTTATTTCTCTTGGGTATCTGCCTAGAAATATCTGCTGTATCATAATGGTAATTCTTTGTTTAACCTTTTGAAGAACTGTCACTCTAACTTCCAAAGTGACTACACCATTTTACTTTTCCAAGAGCATAGCAGTGTTTAAGAACCCCAGTTTTGCCACATCCTTGGTGATTCTTATTATCTGTCTTGTTCATTAGCTTTCCTTCCTAGTGTGTGTAAAGTGCCATGTCATGATTTTGATTTGTGTTTCTGTTTATATCAGGTATTGTAGTCTAAAGGGAATTGAAGGGAGTTAACTTAGGGCAGTTGAGCTATTGCTTTACTACTATATCTGACTTATATATAAAAAGAATTAAGCTATTATTAGTGTATCAGACTAATTATACAATGAATTTTGTTGGTTTTCAAACTTGGAGAATTTCTGACTGAAACACTTAGTTCAGATTTTAGTAATTCATGGACAATCTTTAAAATCAATAGGTAACCTGAGGTGTTCCTTAGTCCCATACAGTACCCATTTCCCTTAATGTTAACCTGAGGGAAAGCCCAAGTTTTTTTATTTTACTGTTGCCAGCCAGTTTTTAAAGGGAAGAATTTTGCTACTAAGTCTGTAAATCACATTTTCTTCAGAATGTTATTTTCCAGGGTAGCTAAAAAAGAAAAGGACCTTCATATCTTAGAACAAAAAGGCACGATATTTTCAACTATATCTTCAAATCTCATAAAAATACTTGTAAGAAAAATGAATACACCAGGATTTTTTTTACTTAAATCATATCCGAGCAGAAGGATCTTTAATGTAAGGCACACTATGACAGTCTGATATATTTGGAAGGCGCTATAGTTTCTTGGAGTATGTATAGTTTGACAAAATTCAGGAGGTATTTTGATAACCTTTCACCTAAATCAGAATGAAAATCGGAAATTGAAAATATGACAAATTATTAGGTAGGAAGGTTTGAGATCTTAAATTATATTGCCCACACTCACTGAGGTGAGGGAAGATGGAGTAGAATTCTTCACAGAAAATTTAAAACTTTTTAGCAAGAAGAAGAGTGAGAAGACTGCCCCTTTTAAGAATGACAAGAACTCAGAAGCTATCAATAGTTAAATACCTTACATCCATCAAACGTATGAGTGATTTCAGTGTGAAGACATTACTTAATTAACCATTATATTCTATATTGTGAATTGATCTCTGCCTTGAAGGACTTTCTAATCTATTAATGCATGTGTGCCAATACAGTTACTATGTAGTATAAAATGCTTCTTTAGATTAGCGATAAAGGAGCTGTGTGGCATTAAAGAGACAGCCACTCAAAGAAGTAAAACTATGAAATGTTTAATTTTAGGATCAAATTTTACATTCTTTTTTCTCTCTTCCTTCTCACTCTTTACCCTACCTTAATGCATTTTACTAAGTACTAAAATGTTTATTTTATTTCTAGGAGATAAAAACAGCTCATAAGTTGGCAAAGAGATGTTACACAAATCCACCACAATGGGCCAAATGTCTCTTCAGTCATTGTTACAGTTTATGGTTCATTTGTCTCCCAGCCTATGTTAGAGTTTCTCATCCGAAGGTCAGAGCACTCCAGCAGGCATATGATGTACTTATTAAAATGAGGAAAATGGATGTGGATCCACTAGATGAGGCAAGTATAACAAAATGCAATGTTGCTAAGGTCAAATTTGTTTTGTATCTTTAAGAAAATACAGGTCTCATTCCCATTAAAGTGTCTCTAGGTATGTTACTGAACAGAAAGTGTAAAACATTTTTTTTGAGTAAAGTCATTAAAAGTCTGCACTTAGCCACAGATTTATGGTAACTACTAATGATTTGATTTTTTTTTTTTTAGGTTTGTTATCGAGTAGTAATGCAACTTTGTGGACTCTGGGGTCATCCTGTTTTAGCAGTGAGAGTCTTATTTGAAATGAAAACTGCTAAGATAAAGCCAAATGCTATTACTTACGGTTATTATAATAAGGTAAGTAGAATCGACAGTAAGTGATATATACTTGTTAAGATTAACAATTCCTTATATGTTATTCGTGAAATGACCCTTTAGAGATTTTGGAGTATACTTCTTTATATATCTGTTACATAAGTATATAGTTTTACATCAAATATCCCTAGTAACACTTTTACCTCTATTTTTCCTTCAGGTAGTTCTGGAGAGCCCATGGCCTAGTAGTACCCGCAGTGGTATCTTCTTATGGACGAAGGTACGGAATGTGATCCGAGGCTTGGCACAGTTTAGGCAGCCACTTAAAAAGACTGTGCAAAAGTCACAGGTTTCCTCAATATCAGGTAATACAAGTGATTGGGAAGATGTTTTCTTGCTGAAGCATAGCTTTGTAGGTACATACGTTTTTAACTTATGTGAAGTAGAAAAATGTAAATAAAATTCTGGCTTAATATTTTCATATATAACTAAAGATAAAAATTATCTTAAGCCTCAAATTATTTCCCCCCACTGTTTTAGGAAGTGTTCTGCAACCAAAAATGAACTGAGAGTTATTCATGTTTAATTTTGGAGATTTTCAGTGCATGCGTATTGAACTGCTATGTCCTTATCTTTAGCTCCTCAGAATGCCACAGGTGGAAGTGATGGGGACACGGTGAGCCACGGTAGCGTGGATAGTTCTAATGATGCTAACAATGGGGAGCACACAGTCTTCGTCAGAGATTTAATCAGTCTTGATTCCATTGATAATCACTCTAGTACAGGTACTAAAATACGGATTTTACTAACCCTTCACTTACTCTCATTTAGGTTTTTCTTTTACTGAAGAGCTTTTACCTTCCTTTCGTGAGTTTGTGTGATATGAGTACATTAGCAATATTGTATGTAAATAAGGGAAGAAATTACACCTCTGATTGCAGATCACTTCATTTACTAGAGTATAAAGTTAACAATGGAGTGTTGTGCACAAGGCTCTAGCATGGTAATTTTTCTTCATCAATTTGTGCAAGTATATGATTGTGGGGAGTTGTAAACCAAAGAATTTGAGTATTAGTGACACAACTTGCATGTCTTTTTTTCATTAAGAAAAAATATTAAATACTTGAGACTGAATGCCAAAGAAGGAAAAGTTTCACATCATGAGAGTAGTATGTTTTTTTGCTGTTATTTCTTTCACCTTTTTTTTTAATCAGAGAAAATTCTGAATCATCTTCTACAGAGCTGTGAGCATAACATCTCTGTCCACTGAAGTTAGAAATAAGTGTAACTAAAGTGGCATATTGAGCAGATCTGTATATGTTGCCCATCTTTCTTCTTGTGTTGTTTTCCCCTTTTGTTGTTGTTATTGTTAATATTTCAAGCTTTTCTTTAAAAAGAATTCTAATTCCTGTGCTTCATCTGATGAACTTGTCTCAATGACTGAAGTTTCCTTTTCTCTGCTCTTTGTTGCTCTGCTTTTGCTCTGTGCTGTTCTTGGTGCTGCATTTGTCCTTGGCTGTCATGGTGTGGGGTGCAGACAGACTTGTATGACGTGAAGCTATGGATACACGTGTGCATTAATTCTACCCTTGAATGTTAACCACTTCAGGTAAATTACCATTTATTAGGTTAAATTTGCTGACGTGCAAGGGTTGGGGAGAGATATTTTGTTATATTTGAAGTATTGTTATAAGTACAAAACAATTTTCGTTTTCTTGACTTTACCTCCTTTGGATCAGTTTAATCGTGTATGATTTCTGAAAATATCCAACCAAACATTCTATGGTCAATTTGCAAAGTATATTTGTTATCTTATTTGAAAATAAATTGTACCTTGCTATAATTTTTTGAGATTGGTTTGTAGTGTCATTTTTGTCAGTAGTTTCACATGGACATTAAAGATTTCAGTATTTCAGATATTGAGGATGCTTTTTACGTGAATTGTACTTGATTTTTTTGGTTTGAGTCTACATTTGATTTTTATTTACTTATTTTTAAAAATGTTCTATTTATTTATTTTGCATAGAAGAACTGGGGTGTAGGCCAAAAGTTCTGGTGAGAGGATTCATTGGAGACAGAGTGGGGTTGCAGAACAGGCAGATCTAGTAAAATCCACTGCTGAAGGGAGACAAGAGAAGTCTGCTGCGCCATGTGGGTCAGCACCCTGGTTGGGATATAACGCAGGTCTTAGGGATGGTAGTGCTGAGACTTGAACCCTAAGCCATCAGGGAGTTGTCCTGTTTTTACATTTTAAAAGGATAGATTTACTAGGAAAAGGGGGGGAGGGGAAGAGGCACCTGCATAGTCAAAGGCAGGTAGAGCTGCTGCAGCTGAATTCTTGTACTTAAAACTACCCCCATAATTATGGAGGCGTGTATGTAAGTCATTGGAAGTCAACATGTGGGTAGTTGGTCCCAATCCTGTTTGTAAATTAACTTTCTACCAAGTAAAAAGTAGGAACTTTTATGACACGTTCATTTTAAACCACCCTATTTTATGTCCTCCTGAACTTTTCCCCAGTACTTTATAAAAGAAATGGATTTCAGTTATGAAAAACCAAGAAAATACTTTTGTGGTATGAAACCATTACATCAGGAATAATAATAGTGATGCTGATGATGATAATTATAATATAATAGTAATAATAATAAAGCAATTTCTTAACTCTCGAATGTAGAGTTAAGAGTTTTGACTTGTTTCATTATAAAGGCAATTCACGCCTTTAGTGAGAAAAAATAATGCAGTAATTTTGAGTAATTGGTATAAAGAGTCTAACAATTGTGGAAACCTTCAGATTCCTATTTCCTCTAAGTTTCTGTTCAGCCACATTTCAAATATCAGAAGGAAATTCTGATAGTGAATTTGTGGTGATTAAATGTCTCTACAGTTTCTGGTGCTGTCATTTCATAACTTTGAAGGTTTACAGCCCAGATGCTAAATTACTGCTTCATTAATAATTATCTCAGAGAATCTTTCTGCTTGGTACTTTTTTGAGGAACTTATCTAGGTTTACTTAATTTACTCAGTGTCCAGGTTAGTGTTATTTTCATGAGGGACTAAAAAAGGTGTCTGAACTAGTACTTATTGGTGTTTAAACCTGTAGTTTGATGATGTAGAAAGTAGAAGACACTATTTTTTGTGTTTTCCATTGGTATTCTTCATAATGATACTCTAGTATATTATACTAGATTATAATGTTTCTTTGGGTTTAGTTTTAATTTCAATGTTAAATAATGGAATTTTCAAGCCAAAATAGATTTTTGCAAGCTTTTTCTTGAAATATATTCACAGTTAAAGAAATGTTGCAGGAATAGCAGAGCAAACTCTTATCTTTTATTTAGATTCACTTTTAATTTGTGGCCAACTAAACTTTAGTTTGTGGTCGTTTTCTTTATATAGAACTTTTCCCCTCTAAATCATTTGAGGACAGGTTATATATATCTTGCCCTTTTTACTCTTAATAACTTCAGTGATATATGATCACAGATATTGATATACAACTTTAATGTTTTGTTTATATTCCAATTTTGTCAATTGTTTTAATGTTCTTGGTAGTACTTTACTATCCTATTTTCAGTTGTCTTCAATAGGGCACCATTCCTCACCTGTATCTGTTATGACTGGCTTTTTTGAAGAATTCTGTTCAGTATTTTGTGGAATCTTTCTCAGCTGAGTTTGTCTGATGTTTTGTTTGATTAGATTAGGCATTATTTTCAAACTGATGTAGCCTGAAATTATCACATCCAGAGGTACACAATGGTGTGTTTGCCCTCGCTGGTCATGTTAGTATTGTTTAGTTTCTGTTATTCTTCCTCCTTACAGATCATAAACTATCTATGAGAAGACCCCCTGAAGCTGAAGCTATACAACAGTGTCCTTTTTTTTTTTTGAAATAATAGTTTCTTTTTACATCATTTTTGTGCCTTTTTCCATCTCAGTTGTGATCCCTGGGGGCTTCCCATCACCAAATCACCCATGTGCCATTACCATAGACCTGTGTACTTCCCTCCCCCCACCATTTTTGATCTCATTCCCCACTCCACCCCATAAAATATTTCTGGTATATAGTTGTTCATTGTTCATTATTTTCTCCCCTGGTCCTTTATAGTCCACAACAGTGTGCTTTTACTTTTATAATGCTTTGTTAAAGTAACATTACATTATAATAGCATGTAAGTTGCAGGGGTACATTACACTATATATTTTTCTAGCACATATGGAAGAAGAAATATGTAACTCCTTAAACATTTTTTAAAAAAGGTTTACCACTAAAAGTCCAGTCTCATACTTTACTATACAACAGATCCCTTTCCCTTTCATTTCTGGTAACTACCTATTTGTCTAATAGTCTAAAACTTTATCTCTAGTTCATTTATTTATTTTTTCTATATACCAAATGTGAGTGAAATCACGTTTTTCTTGGTATGGCTTATTTCACTAAGAATAATTCATATTGGCGCAAATTGTAGCATTTCATCCTTTTTTTTTAATAACTGGATAGTATTCCATTGTGTATATATACCATACCTTCCTTCTCCCATCATCTGCCAATAAGTACTTAGGCTGTTTCCAGCTCTTAGCTGTTGTATACAATTCTGCAGTGAACACGCAGGGTATAGATATCCCTTTAAGTTTTTTATTTTCTGTATTTTGGATAAATATTTGGTAGTGGGACAACTGGGTCATATAGAATTTGTTTTTAATTTTTTGAGGAATCTGTATTTCTTTTCATAGTGGCTATAATATTTGCTTTTCTACCAATAGTATGCAAATATTTCCTTCTCTCCACATCTTCCCCAGCACTTTTTGTTTCTTGTCTTTGATATAATAGCATTCTTACAGATGTGAGGTGATATCTCTTTGTGTTTTGATTTGTATTTTGCTAATAGTAACAGATGATGATGAACATCTTATGTGCCTATTGTCCAGCTGTATGTCTTCTTTAGAGGAGTGTCTGCTCAGATCATCTACCCATTTTCTAATCAGATTTGTATTTTGTATTTTGTTGTTGAGTTTTATGAGTTCTTTATATAGTTTGTATACTAATCTCTTGTCAGATGTGTTATGTGCAAATATCATCTCCCATTCAGCAGTAAGTCCTTTCACTGTGCAGAAGCATTTTAGTGTGATGTAGTCAAGCTACTTGTAATTTATTTTTGTTTTTCTTTTCCCCAAAGCCATTTCTATGACTATTGTTAAGTAACATATCACTTCTTCTATGTTTTTATGGTCTCAATTCTTACACTGAAGTCTTCAAGCGCGCTTTTTTTTCACCTTTTTTTCTTTCTTTTCCCATCCATTTTCGTTCTTTATCTTTTCTTTTTAAGATTTACTTATTTATGCATATAGAATTTGGGTATAGGTCAGAGATGGAGAGGATTTACCAGAGGCAGAGTGGGAAGCAGAACAGGCAGATATATTGAAATACACTGTTGAGGGGAGCAACAGGTGGGACAGGAGTGGTCTGCCATGCCATGTGGGTCATCTCCCTGGCTGGGGATTGAATCCATGCTGCACTGGCTTGCGATAGCTTCATAGTGCTGTGCTTTTATCCATTGCACTATCAGGAAGGACCTGCAATTCATTTTCAATTAAATTTTGTATATGATGTCAGATAGTGGTCCAACTTTACTCTTAGTTGTAACTGTACAATACCATTTAGTAATAACCTCTTTCTCATCAGTTTTTCTTCTAAATATCACATCCATTGATGATTTTTGCCTGAATCAGCCTCTGCTATGAAAATTTAAGAAGTGGTGATTTTGCAGACTTTTCCTTCCTCCACATTTCATTGTATATTTTCAGACATTTCTCATCATGTTGCTTGAGCCTTGCTTTCTTGCACAGTAAAATGTTTGTGAATCATTTTTGTGCCTTTCCTTCTTGAGGTCTGGAATTAGCCACTTCTTTAAGGACTCCAGATTTCTTTAATAAAAACAGATTTTAGAAACCAAGATCTGGGCCTTAATTGTGCTTATTGCTATCATGGTGTTACTATTCTAGAGTTTTCCAGCAGAACTAGAAAATATGTATGTGTCCATGTATGTATGTATGTATGTGTGAGAAGTACCTACAATTCTAATGAGCCTCATAGGTTTTTCTTTGCTTTGCATCATTCCATTTAATTAAAAAAAAAATCTTCTACAATAAGAATCTTGATTCCCAAATCACCATCACGCTTAACTCATTTGCTCAAACCTACAGTACAAATAAAATAATTTCGGAATTCTTACAACCCTTCCCCTGTGAGAAAGAACCCTCTTCAGGATTTCAGGATACTGTTTACCTACCCCTCCTAGTACAGATCCTCCCACCCCCACCTAAGACTTAAAATAATGTGTTTAAAAGTATGGATTGGTCTTCCCACAATCATCTCAATGTGGTTTTGTTATTCATAGGAAATATAGTTGGCTTCATTTGTTTCTGTGTGCATTCACTTTTAGTTATCTTCCCTGCTCCCATTGCAGCTTGTTGAATTGATTTTTTTTAACACGTAAAAAATAATATATTCCAAAAATAAAATGTATATAACAAGCTGTACTTAAAGAAGTTTCTTTTTTCTCTAGCCATTCCATCCTGTTTCCCCCTGGTCTCCCATCTCTTGTGACATTTGTTTTGCTTTTGATTTTATTATTCCTGCATTTCTTTGCATAGATATGTTATTTTATTTCCTCTTCTTTGTTGCACAAAGAGGTAGACACACTCTAAAATACTTGTCAGAACATCTCGTCCAGATCTGTTAATTTGCAGTTTTTACTTAAAATTAAAAGTTCAGTACTTTCAAGTGGGTAGTGTTTTTTGATGTTGTTTCAACTGTTCTTTGCTTCTTATCTTTTTCTAAATGTTCTATGTGCTTTGTGAGCTTTCTTCCCTTTCTTTAAGTTTAATTGTGCAGATCAGTAGAATTTGTTGACATTTTATAAAGGGATTGTAAGTAGAAAATATTGAAATATAAATCTGCATTTTTTTAACAGGTGGTCAGTCTGATCAAGGCTATGGATCTAAGGATGAACTTATAAAAGATGACACAGAAATACATATGCCTGAAGAACAAATAGCAAGAGAACTGATAAATAAAACAAATGTGCAGACAGAAGGTTATGTATTGATATTTACAGCTAAACTTAAAAAATTACTGGTATTGCTTAAAAGTCTTATACAATTTTGGTGAGAATTTCCAAAAATTTAAGGTCTCAGCTTGTAAAACACTATCTTTGTACTGTTATATGACATAGGCTTGGTAGTCTATAGTTTTAGAATCTTCATAATGGATTCTGTAGGTCAGCCCTTGACTTTGCAGAAAATAGTATCCCATTGAAGGATCATTTTTCACTGTTACATGGCTACTTTATAACTGAATCAGGACTAAACTTTTGAGCCATCAAATTCTTTTGCAGTTCCCCTATTTTAAAGTGCTCTTTAACTTCCGCACTTCAGTTATCTAAATGGATATTTTGACTGGCAGATTAAATATAGTGTGGTTTTTCCTGGTGGGTTTTTTTTTTTAATTTTCTGAGCTTCATTAAGATGATTTGTAGAAATTATTTTATGGAAATACAGAAGAGTACTTTGGCTTTGCAATTAGAAGATGATCTTCCTGTCCTGTCACATAAAACACTTTAATGATATTGCTTGTTTTATACTCCAGAGTTTTGCAGAAGCAAACCCCTTCACTAAAGCATTTCAGTCAGTGGATAACATTGAAATTGTCAGACATACAAGTCAGTAGTGAAATAGTCCTTTATTTGTTATTCCCTTTGGGGAAAATCCATGAAATATGTAAAATCAGCATATATAGCAAATGTGGAATGCTAATGTCCAGATATTTTTTCCTCCAGAATTGTGTGATCTTTCTGCTGTTGTGGTAAAACATTCACAACCTAATGCAGAGGCCCAGAGTCCTACTGAGCCCCCTGCTTGGGGCAGCAGTATTGTGAAATCTCCATCTGGTATATTTGATGTCAGTGGCAGGAAAAGCAGCACCGGTGAGTCTTTACATATTGGTTATTAAATATTTGGAATGTACTTTAAAAAAATTTATATATATATATTTACATTATTGTTCATTTTACAGTGTTTACTTCTCCCTTCCCCCACCCGTCATCACCATAGCCCCACATTTCTCCTTTCTGATCACTCTCTGTCTCTCTCCCCTGTAGGATCTCTCGGATTTATAATTGTCTATTTTTGTTTTGTTGTGTTATGTTTTGTATTGTAATAACAATACACTCGCCCCTCCCACAGCCTCCCCCCCCCCAGCCTTATTTGATTCTCTTAAATTCCTCCTATAAGTGAAAGCATTTGATATTTTTCTTTTTTCTTCTGGCTTAGTTCACTGAGCATAATCCCTTCCAGCTCCATCCATGTTGCTTGGAGGACATGAGTTTATCTTTATTGATTGTTGAGTAGTGTTCCATTTTATATATATATATAAATATTTACACCACCACATCTTTTTGATCTAATCATCTAGTTTTGGGCATTTGGGTTGTTTCCAGGATTTACCTATCATAAATAATGCTGCAGGAAACATAGGGAAACATGTATCCTTTTGAATTAATGTTTCTGTGGGGTTGCTGGGTCATATGGTAGCCTGAGGAATCCATTTTTAGTAGTTGGAGGAATCTCCATACAGCTTTCCATAGTGGTTGTACCAGTTTACCACATTCTCACCATTTGTTGTTGTTAGTTGTTTTGATATGTGCCCTTCTCACTTGTGTGAGGTGGTATCTCATTGTGATTTTGATTTGCATTTCCCTGATAATGAAGGATATTGAACATTTTCTCATATACCTGTTGACCATTGCAGTGGAATGTAATTCTTTACATATAAATGTGTCTGTTGATACTATTATGACTTAGATGTAATGAACATGCTAAAGTAAGATTGACTCTTATAAATAGATTAAAAAATAAGTTAAAGTAGTTGTTATTTAAAGATATTTAATGCTTTAAAGGAAGAATATTTCAGTGTGTTTGTTACTGGGAACACCTTTTCTTGTTTTAGTGTCTGTCCTGAGTTTGGTGCTTCTTACTTATTGTGGATAGTGAGAGAGGAGAGGACTGTAAGGCTTCCTCTGTTGAAGAACAGTGATGTGATTGAATCCCAGAGGACTTATGTGTGACAGCATTGTTTCTATTGCTGAAGAAAAATGGGAGACAAGATTCACATCACTTAGGCTCTACACAAACTACTTGTGGGTCTTTAAATTTGATGCAGTTATTATAGGGACTCCAGATCACTTCTTGGTGATTAAGTGTTTGTAGTAAGTAGTGTGTTGCATATGACTCCCTGAATTGGAGTTTACTAGTTTCAGTTATTTTGTAGGCCTTCCAGCACCTTTAAGTCATACATCTAAATATATGATTTTAAAGGACAATGAAGTTGGCTGTGTTCTTTGCCCTTCACTTCTTGTGTGTATGTACTATACAACTTTATAGGAATTAGTTTTTTCAAAATCTTAAATCAATGTAGAAATTATTCCTTGATCCTAAAATCTTTTCCTTTTTATTTACTGTGATAACAGGTTCAGTTTGTTTTATTTTTAGGGTTGTATTCCAGAAATGGAGCTTGACTGTTTTTAAAAAAATTATTATATTATTGTTTGTTCTGTATCCAATTTATGATAGTAAGTTTAAAAAAAAAAAGAATTTTCTTTGTCAGAAGTTTAAAATCTTTAGGATATTGAAATGGACATGGTCTGGGACTGGTGTATACCTTCCCTGTTTACTTATTTCTATAGTTCAGCTTAACCTTTTTTTTTTTTTTAAAGATTTATTTATTTATTCGTACAGAACTGAATACAGGCCAGAGATGCTGAGGGTGAGAGGATTCACCAGAGACAGAGTGGGGAGCAGAACAGGCAGATCGACAGAGTACACTGCTGAGAGGAGCAGCAGGCAGGTCCGGAGAGGTCTGCCTCGCCATGTGGCTCTCCTCTGGGGCAGGCGGGGATTGAACTCATGCGGAAGTGGCTTAAGCTTCTTTGTGCTGCGCCACCAGGGAGGGTCCTCATCTTAACCTTTTTAAAATTATATATAATATATATATATATTTTTTAATATCTTTTTTTTTTTCTTTGTACAGTGTGTTCCTTTTCTTCTTGGGTGTGGTCACCATGCAGTTCACACCACCAGTTCACCCGTGCACCATCTCCATAGTTCCTTGTGCTCTTCCCACCCCTGTTTTGATCCTGCTCTCCTCTACCCCCCTGCAAAATGTGTGGTTTACAGCTGTCTGTTAATTTTGACATTTATTTATTCTACATATATATTTTTTCCTGATCCCCTTATTTGGATCTTCTATATTCCTCCTAATAGTGAAACCATCCAGTATTTTTATTTTCCTTTCTGGCTTATTTCTTTCCAGCTGCATCCATGTTGCTGAAAATAGCATGAGTTTATTTTTTTTTTGATTGTTGAGTAATATTCTGTTATGTGTATGTACCACATCTTCTTGACCCAGTCATTTATTTTTGGGCTCCTGGGTTGTTTCCATAGCTTACCTTTCTTAAATAGTGCTGCAATAGACATAGGGGTGCAGGTGTTCTTTTGAATTAATGTTTTTGTGTCCTTTGGGTAGATACCTAGGAGTGGAATTTCTGGATCATTAGGAAGGTCCATTTTTAACAGCTTGAGGAATCTCCAGCTTTCCATAGTGGTTGAACCAGTTTGCATTCCCACCAACAATGTAGGAGAGTCCCTTTTTCTCCACATCCTTGCCAGAATTTGTTGTTGCTAGTCTTTTTAATTTGTGCCACTCTCAGTGGTGTGAGATGATATCTCACTGTGGTTTTGATATGTATTGTGTTGTATACCTGTGGACCATTTTGGTTTCCTCTTTGGAGAAGTGCGTTTTTAGTTCTTCTGCCCATATTCACCGTAATCTTGAAAGATTTACTTGATTTAGTCAAAAGAGGTGGTATTGGGCTTTTTCCCAGTTTATCAAATAAATTTATTTTAAGATTATTCTAATGAGGGACCTCGCTATTGGCACACTGGGTTAAAGCACAGCACTGCCATTCTATCCATGACTGCTTCAGCATGAGTTTGATCCCCAGCCAGGTAGTGCAGCAGACCTCTCCTGTCTCTCCCACTGCTCCCCCCAGCAGTGTACTTTGTCATTCTGTCTGTCCTGCTCCCCACTCTGTCTCTGGTGAAATCTCTCACTGGCCCCAGACCACTGGCCTATACCTCAGTTCTATATGCATAAATAAATAAACCTTTTTAAAAATAATAAGATTATTCTAATGAAATGTGCTATTGAATTCTTGGAAGTACTACAGGAATCACTGCATTTGCAAAAATCTTCTTTTTTTTAAATAGATCTGGAGTACAGTTTGGAGGTGTGGAGGGTGAGGAGTGAGAGGAGTCACTAGAGACAGAGTGGGGAGCAGAACAGGCAGATACACTGAAATGCACTGTTGAGGGGAGCAGTGGGTGAGATAGAAGAGGCCTGCTGTTCTATGTAGGCTAGCTTTCTGGCCAGGGACTGAACTCAGGCTGTAGAGATGGGCCTTTGCAGTGGCAGTGCTGAGACTTCACCTAATTATTGATAAAAGTTTTCACCGCAGGGGGCCCTCCCTGGTGGCACAGTGGGTTAAAGCACTGCACTAAGAAGCTAAAGCCACTTCAGCATGAGTTCGATCCCAGCCCTGGAGGTGACACACCTGGCACGGCAGACCTCTCCTGACCCACCCGCTGACCATTTTGTCAGTCAGCCTGTTCTGCTCCCCACTCTGTCTCTGGTGAAGACTCAACTGCCTCTGCACCTCACCTCTGGCTTCTACCCCAGTTCTGTGTGAATAAATAAATAAATCTTTAAAAAAAAATCAGGATCCTAAATATGAATGGGAACACTGAAGTTCTGGTTATAATTCAAATAGGAAATAGCTTTTGGTCTTGGGGTGGGAAAAAGAGCTTGGTAGCATGGAGTAGAAAGGCTGCTTGCTTTCCCCAACACTGGGGGTGTTTCTTTAGTTACTGGCATTATTTTGTTCCATTTAATCATACAAGACTAACCTTCTGTGAGGCTGGAGTCAAGAATTTTTTTCAATATTGTTTTCCTAGCATCTCACATAGTGAGTTCTAATGGACAGTTAGATATTTGTTGCAGGAATGAATGTAGCTCTTTTTTAGCTCTTTCTTTCTTTCTTTTTTTTTTTTTTTAATCAGACTTCTTGGATTCTGAGCACTCCATTCAGATTATTTTACTTTGGAACAGAAAGTTTTTGCTGTAGCAAATACATAATTTCCCCATAACTATGAATTTGCTTTGCATGGTTTAACTGGCAAGTATTTGTTGAATTAGATATATGTAAATTAAGTAGATTATTTCTAGTTAGGTGTGCTATATTTAATGGAGAATATATTTAAGTTGACTGACACTTTTAAAATGTAAGCCATTTATAGATCTACACTGATAAATGTTTGAACAATATACATGCACATACAACATGTTCTTTTTTGTAATGAAAGTGTATATGCATAGAGGATGAAATGTAGTTTAAATTATCTCTGGGAGACAGGGTTAAATGTATGGGGGGTTTTGGGAGTGTCTTCTCAATGCCTTTTTATAAGTTCTAATCTTTACAATTTCTGAATCTTCTACTCTGGTATATGTCACTATCAAAGTAAAAAATAAATATTTGTATACAGTTTATAAGAGAAAATATATTGATTTTTCATACTGTACTTCTTTTAGGTAGTATATCGAATGTGCTATTGTCTGCTCAAGATCCAGGTGAAGATGCAGTCTATGGTGAAGTTACTAATCTCAAGAAAAATGGCGATAGAGGAGAAAAAAGACAAAAACATTTTCCAGAGAGGAGCTGTAGTTTTAGTTCTGAAAGTCGAGCAGGAATGTTGCTTAAGAAGAGCAGTTTGGATTTGAATTCAAGTGAAGTGGCTATCATGATGGGAGCAGATGCCAAGATTCTTACAGCAGCATTGTCATGTCCTAATAAGACTTCTCCGCTTCATCTTTCAAGAACCCATAGCTTTGAGAGTGCTAACTATCATCCAGGTGATACTAGGACTCATATGTCTGAAAGCATGTGGGATTCTGAGCACAGATCTTCAGTATTAGAGATGCTTGAGGAAAGCCAAGAGCTCCTAGAGCCTGTGGCTGATGACAACACAGCTAAAACTAGTATGACAAAGGATACGCATGACAGTCTGCAAAATCCTATTAGCAATGATCAGTCCATAGACTTAAACACAGGATCCAAAGATCTGATGAATAAGAGAAGTAGTTTATATGGTATTGCTAAAGTTGTTGAGAGGGAGGATGTTGAAACTGGACTAGATCCTTTGTCTCTTTTAGCTACTGAATGCACAGGAGAAAAAACACCTGATTCTGAAGATAAATTTTCTCCACTTATTGCCCGGAATCTTGCTGATGAAATTGAAAGTTATATGAATCTGAAAAGTCCTCTGGGCAGCAAGTCTTCTAGTATGGAATTGAACAGAGAGGGAAGCAAAGAGTCTGGCACTACCACTACATTTATTCACCCTTTAGATAGGAGATCAAGCCTACCTTTAGATCATAGCCCGCCAGCACAGGAAAATCCTGAAAGTGAAAAGAACTCCCTTGCAGCTTCCACGTCTAAAACTTTTACTGGGCGTTTCAAGCAGCAAACTCCCATTCGAACTCATAAAGATCGTTCAAGTTCTTTATCGGCACTGGTGCGCTCTTCACCACATGGCTCATTGGGTTCTGTGGTAAATTCTTTGTCAGGTCTGAAGCTGGATAATATACTCTCAGGGCCTAAGATAGATGTGCTGAAATCTAGTATGAAACAAGCAGCAACAGTTGCCAGTAAGATGTGGGTAGCTGTAGCATCTGCCTACAACTACTCTGATGACGAGGTAAGAATGTCTTATGTGCATAATCAGTCTGAGTTTAGAATATTTGTGCATTTCTTTATATATAGTTTTGTGGTTTTTTAACTTTCATTTTCATATTTAAAAATTTTTTATTCATATCCTATTTCTTAAAATGACTTGAATCTTGAATATATATATATATATATAAACAAATTAGTAATGAAGAAATAGACTATCGGGAGCTAACTCTGTATCAGTGTAAACTGATTTACCATGATTTCTTTGAAAGCACTTATGATTGAATATAAATGTCATGTCAGAATTGCATAGTACTTCATTTTTTAAAATAATTTTCACCTGTTTTCTGTTTAATATATGTGAAATCACTCTGCAACTCAATCCATGGATTTCATACTGTATTACAAAAATGATTAAATCTTTTTTTTTCAAAAATGATTAAATCTTTTAAAAATAATTTTAATGGTAGTCATCTGTTTTTGAAGAGGATTAGGTAAATTTTGTTTATTTGTTTTAGATAAAGAAATTGAAAATAAATCCTTGTGTTCAAAGAATTATGTAATACTTGGGTACTTTAGTAGAAGAGATAGACCTCTTTAGAGATCATTATTATTCTAGCACTGTGTTGTAGTTACTGTCATAGCTATATGTTTTCATAACAACCCCATGGTACTATTGTTATCAAGTATTCTATGAAGTACCCGAGATTCAGAGAGGTTAATTAACTTCTGCAGCTCACACAACTAGTGAGTGGCAAAACTAGAATTTGGGAATTTGATTCTAGGATCCACATTCTTAACTATAACATCAAAGAAAAGAACAATATAGGTTTCAGTGGGCAGGGTCGGGGCTTAAAAAAAGTGATATCTAATAATGATAGTTTTTCTGAACAGTTACATTACTAGTGAGAAATCTCACAAAACAACCTTATTTTTCATTTTATTTTTAAGAGAAAAAAATTGAAGGTTTTTAAAATTCTATCTATATTTCTTTATTTTGTGTCATTTTTCATTTTGTACATTTTTTCATCTTGGTTGTAATCTCCATGGACTTCCCATCACCAGTTCACCCATAGTCCTGTGTGCTCTTCCTGCCCCAGTTTTGATCCTGATCCTTTCACCACTCCCCGTAGAACATCTCTGGTTTATAGTTGTTTGTTGATTTTCATTTTTTTTTTTTTAAAGATTTATTTGTGCATACAGAACTGAGGTGCAGGCCAGAGGCTCAGGGGCGGTGAGAGGCTTCACCAGAGACAGAGTGGGGAGCAGAACAGGCAGATCTACGAAGTACACTGCTGAGGGGAGCAGCGGGCGTGTCAGGAGAGGTCTGCCTCGCCATGTGGTGACCTCCGGGGCAGGCGGGAATCAAACTCATGCAGAAGTGGCTTTAGCTTCTTAATGCTGTGCTTTAACCCGCTGCGCCACCAGGGAGGGCCTGATTTTTGTTTTTACTTAATTACAAATTGCTTTTTTTTTTTTTTCTGATCCCTTACACTCATGCTATGAGTGAAACCATCTGGTAGTTTTCTTTTTCTTTCTGGCTTATTAAGCATGATTCCTTCCAGCTCCATCCATATTGCTGCAAATGGCATGAGTTTATCTTTTTTGGTTGCTGAATAATATTCCATTGTGTATATGTACCACATCTTTAAAAAAAGTTTTAATAGCATATCCATCTCCTGTATACATGTGAAAGATTCAGCATAACTGCTGACTCATTCACATGGCTTGTGAAGAATGTCAAATATGACATATTAGTTAAGACAAAGGAAGTTAATATCAGATTCTCCATTGCAAGCTTGCATTGTTTGAGAAAAAAAGTTATAGGTTTTCAATCAATCTAAAGCAAGAAGATTAGGAAAAAACTAAATGTAGTTAGAAAGTTATCACAGATATTTAAAAAATTGAGGATCTAGTACAGTTCACAGATTAATAGCAAAACCTTCAAAAATTATTAGGACTGGAGTCTGAACAACCTTATTTTAAATAAGGTTCAAATTATTCATGTTTTTCAGATAATTCAGTGAAAAGTTAGAGAAGCGATTTCTACAGGGTCACATACTTCGTTAAGTAATGGAGAGCCAAGATTATCGTCTGACAGTCTGACTCTGAAGTCCTTGTTCTGCTTATGCTGGGATCCTTGATTCTGTTGGTGATAGTGACCTCCTAGAGTCCCATCATTCTATAATATTGAATATTGAAAGATATCCCACACTCCTAATAAATACCAGGGCACAACATAGTCTCAAAATATTAGGTCATAGATTTGGGAGTCACAATAGGCAACAAATTGGTGACTATTGGCAGAGCTGTTCAGGTAGTCAAGCCACATATGCTACATTAATAAGGTTCCCAGACACAAGAGTCAATCTAAAACCCAATATATCAGAAGCCTTTAGCATCATCAGAATGATCATCTTACTCTTCTTCAATTTCACAGCATTCTAAAGAAGGAAATCACCAGATTGGCTGATGTCTTAGGGTCTAGCAGACACTACATAAATAATAAATACAGGTGGGACCTTATATCTCAAGCATAAATTTGTTCAGTGTAGAATTCAAGAATAATTACTCGTCATGCGACTGCTGTTTGTCCTCAGGCAAATAACTAGTCCTTACAATATAGAACTTCCATAATGACAGATAAGAAATTGTTTATTAAACAACTTTAATACATACTCTAAGAAAAAAATGAAATATAGAAAATGTAGATGGACACTTGTATCTCCTTATCTGGCTAGCTTCTCCACAAGCTTACCTAGTTGTTTATATATATATTATTAAAGTATATAGTTTTAAGTGTTAAAAATAATTAGGTCATTCCTTGAATGTGGTAGATTATAGAAAAAAGAATCCAAATAATAGTGAGAAGAGTTCATAATTTTGAAAAATATGGGGATGGTGGTTTTATTTAAGGTTGAAAGGAGCTTAATTCATAAGAGGGTAGAGTGAATATTTTTCATTGGAAAAGGTGCTATTTATGTATGTGGGATTTTATTCTTTTTGTTTAAAGGAGGAAACTGGTAGAGATTACAGCTTCCCAGCTGGCCTTGAAGACCATATTTTGGGGGAGAATATATCACCCAACACAAATATCACAGGGTTGGTCCCCAGTGAACTTACCCAGAGCAACACAAGCCTTGGTAGTAGCAGCAGCAGTGGAGATGTAGGAAAGCTGCATTACCCACCAGGTATGGGGGGAAGATTGTCCTTCTAAAGTATTTGCCCTATCTTTCTGTCCCATACCACATGCTTAATAAAGCCCATTTGTGGAGATGATCTAATTTTTAACATAGCCATGTTATACTATCACTTTTATATGATGTTTAAGTACTTGTCACCCACAGAGTTTATTTATAGTGTGTGTATTTATGGATTATATCATTAGTTCTCAAACTGTATTGCACATCAATATCACCTGGAAATAAAATACAGATGTCCAAATGCTAGGCTAAAACTTTCAAGACTGGATCTGTGAGATGGGGCATTTTAGACTGTGGATTTTTAGTGAGTGAATCAGATATATGTAAGGGTTAAGAGGCCCTGGGTTCACTTTTTAAAATTGTAATTCTAATTGTAATTTTTTCCAACTTTCTATTATGAAACATTTCAAATGATCCTGAGTAGTTGAAAGAATCCATCTAGATTTATATAACTAATGTTACTTTTGTCACTGTGTACATACATCCATATTTATACTGAAGCATTTAAAAATAAACTGCAGACTTCATACGTCCCTTCTACATTACTACATATTTCAAAAAGACTAAGGATATTATTCACATATATAACGTATTACAATTTTTACTTCTCTCTAGGTGAAGTTCTGTTTTCAAGAGGCATAAAAGGGCAGGAGTTTGAAAAATCAGACCATGGTTCTTCTCAAAATACTAGCATGTCTAGCATCTATCAAAATTGTGCAATGGAGGTAAAAGTTCTATATTCTGCTTATGATAAAATGACTAAATATATTTTTATTTCAGAATGGCATTTCAAAGAATTCTATGATACCCTCCCTTGTGGGAACAGTAAAATAAGTGATTTTTTTGAATTTGCTTGATATATAGATAGCCCAGGTAATAAAGCTGGTAGTTTTTCCTATAAAGTAATTGAGCTGCTAGTTTTAAATTTGATCAAAAAAATAAATGAAATTGTACATCTCTCTCAAGAGCATGTCCTATTAAGATACATTTTCATCAGAGGTTCTCACTGTCTGTACTTTTTAACCCTTAGGTTTTGATGTCAAGTTGTTCACAGTGCAGAGCTTGTGAAGCTTTAGTTTATGATGAAGAAATTATGGCTGGATGGATGGCAGATGACTCAAATTTAAATACAACCTGTCCATTTTGTAAAAGTAACTTTTTGCCTCTTCTCCATATAGAATTTAAAGACTTGAGAGGCTCTGCAAGGTTAGTATCATAAAAGCTCCCTTAAAAGGAATGTGTCCTCTGAAAATCAAGACTTCTGGAGGAAGAGGGAAATAGTCATGTTTATGTTCCAAATGCCCCTTTCTCTTCTCTCCTTACTTTCAGTAAATAAGCAAAAAGTACTAGAAATGTAGGAGACTACTTTTCTATTTTATTTGACATGATTATCAGTGGTAGTTAATTGTTGGGGCTAAACTTTATAAAGTCAGGACCTTTTAGTCATCATTTTAAACTTTCTGCCACAGTGACTATAGTTTGTTTTCTAGAAGCAAGAGAGAAAAAAATGTGGGAGGCATTAGTTAGGGGAAAGGTGTTAATTTCAAACTTTCATAACTTGTTAACCTCTTGTGGCAGTTCTCTTAGCAAAATGAGACTAACTCATCCATAATCATTCATTTAAGAGTTTGGTGTTGGTATGATCACAAAATAATTCCAGAAGGTTCCCGAATAGTGTCTTTTCATTCATTGTCATTTAGTTACATCTGTTGAGAAAAAAAACAGTCAACCAGTATTGTGTGAAATGGCTTTATTCGAAAACTTGCTGTCATTCTGTGTGGCTTCTGCAAACCTGTCGACAGCTTTTAATGAGGACTCACTGTACACTTAATATTCTATTAATTGTATGGAGGAAACATTCTTTATATTATCTACCTCTATCTGCTTTTTTAAAACTTCGAATCACAAAGGTATTTCTATTTAACCTTGTAGCCTCACTTAACTAGAGAGCTTAGAGTTAAATCAGACTCTTGTTTTGGTTTGACAGGGGCCTTCTTTTATTATCTTCTATCTCCTATCCCCACTCTTATTCCCTTATCCAGCAAAAACCAACTCTGCTGTGCATGATATATATTTGAATATATATCATTTACAAAATACATAGTTTTGTCTGATTATGTATTTTTAACTTATATGATGAAAACAATACCGAAAACCCAGTTTAAATTCTGAGTTGCTATATGTACATCCAGTTTATTCCTTTTCTTCTGAAGTAAGCTATCTGCGTTAGCTACCTCAGTGGATTCTAGTTCATGGTTGTTATAAATACCACTGTCATGATACAATATACTCTCCAAAATATATTTCTCCTTCTGGAATTATGCAGTAGTTTCTCTCAGAAAATCATCTTAGTCATGAGCTCATTGGGTTGTTTTCATACATGATTTCAATAAATATTGAAAGGTTGCATTGCAGGTGGCTCAATTCCCACTCATAGTACCCAAGATACCTCATTTCTGTATATTCTTGCCATCATCTGGTGGTGTCACTTTGCTAATTTTGGCATTCTGATAAGTTTAAAGTGATGTCTTTTAGAAGTTTATCTTGATATTAGTGAGTTTGAATATCTCTTCATATACTTACTGATTTCCATCATCTTCTATGATTGCTTATTTACATCCCTTTCTGATTTTATATTCTTTTTGATCTCTATCTTGAATAGCCTGTTATTGAAGTACTATTAATATATATCACTTTGTTAATTTCATATATAGCATAATGATTTGTCTACAGGACAGAAAGATAAATTTTTCAAAATTACTATTGCATCAAAAAGAATAAGATATATAAGAATAAGTCTAACCAAGAAGGTGAATAACCTGTATACTGAAAACTTACAGGACATAGATGAAAGAAATAGAAGATACAAAGAAATTAAAAGATATCATGGTCATGAGTTGAAAGAATCACAATTAGTTTCTAAAAAAGATTCAGTTGTTTTCATTGCAATGAAGTTTTTATTAGGTTTGCATTACATTTATAGATTTATTTTGGAAAAATTGACATTTTCAGTATTCTCTTTATTTATGAGCAGTATACATCTTTCCATTATTTTCATATCTTCTATTGTGTCCTTTAGAGAGTTTTAAAACCTCCATCAATTTTATATGTCTTTGTGTTTTAATTGTGTTTCTGAAGCTAATATGTGAATTCCTTCTAATTTATAACTAAAAAGCATTACCGATTTTCCTTTTGCGTATGTCATTATGGAAAGTTTCAGACTTACTAAAGCTTGTTTTTACACTGAATACCAAAGTAGCCACACCTACAGCCTATAATTAATATTTTACTTACTTCAAACTTGCTTTATAACCTATCAATACCTCCATCCGTCCACCCTTCCATCTTATATTTTCATTTATTTAAAATAATATGTAGATATTAATACACTTCTTCCCCAAGACTTCTAGGTTAATGCACACCATTAACCTTGTTTCAGTACTTGTGGATATTTTTTCTTTTGGGATAAAATTACATATAGTAGAATGTGCAGATCTTAAATGTACCAGTTGAAGAATAAATGCATATGTTTGTGCAAGCCAAGTTTATCAAGATACAGAACAGTTAAAAAAAAAAAAAACATCACTACTACCTCAAAGTTTTCAGTCTCTTGCAAGGCCCAGCTCTCAACTCACTTCCACCTAGAAGAGAGGAGACAAATAAGATGAAAATAAATACTGATGAATAGACAAGAGAAGAAATGACAAAATAGATATTTATAAGTGTGGGGGGGAAGTAATATAAATAATTTCAGTAACACTTAGCTTGCTTCCTTCATAGCTTTGTTGAATGTCTCTCAGAAATTGAAAATATTTTATTGTGAACTATAACCTTCTCTAGATATTTTTGTGTGAAAAGTTTATTGGGAGCAGCCTAGGGGACGAAGAATAACAATATATACATGTCAGAAATAGGCAGTATTTCACTTATGGATTGTATAATTCACTAATGACTGCTTTACCATGAAATGATTCTAAATATGATGGGAATGATGGGATATAAAGGTCTTCAAGATATTTAAAGACTGCTTTTGGAACTGTTCTATATTTAGCTTTTTCCTGAAACCAAGTACCTCTGGTGATAGTTTACAAAGTGGCAGCATTCCATTGGCAAGTGAACCTTTGGAACACAAACCTGTATCCAGTTCAGCAGAACCTGACTTGATCAACTTCATGGATTTCCCAAAAGTTAACCAGACCATAACTGAAGAAACAAGCTCTGCAGTTGAATCAAGGTACCAGAGGGTACAGAGAATTCTTTACAAAATATTGGGTTTCCTTATAAAAATTATATTTTTAAGACAGCCTAACTCATTGTCTACCAAATATTGCTTAAATATCTGACTAATTAATATGATGATAAACCACTTTTGAAATTATGTTCAATGTTTCACAGTGGTCTTTTACAAATTAAACTTACCAACTTAGTAAAAGGATTTCGCTGTTTAGTGTAGTCATTGCGGTTTCCAGGGAAGTGTTCTTTTTACTATGAAATGTACTCTTTACTCTTAACTATTGTATAAGTCCCACATTTCTACAGAGACTATTGTATATTACTCAGCAGGCTCATGTACTCCTGATCATTTTTACAAAAATGCCTAAAGAAAATTTAATTCTCATAAGGTGGTCCTGACTCTTCTCAGATATACTTATATATGCCATTCATTCTGAAAATACTTTCGCTCTAAACACAGCATTTCTTCATTTTTTTAAAAGTGGTGAAATACAGAAAGCCAGTGGAGATGTCCAAACTATGAAAGTTTCACCTGTGCCTAGTAGCTTGACAAAGCGAAATGTATCTTTGACTCGAAGCCACAGTGTTGGAGGCCCCTTGCAAAATATTGATTTTTCTCAGCGACCATTTCATGGCATTTCAACAGTTAGTCTTCCAAATAGTCTACAGGAAGTGTTGGTATGTAACAACATGTAGTGATATTGTGTGTTCATGTAAGTATTAATTAGAACAGCATATCATTTTTCTGTGGTAGATTTAGTTCAATCACATGAAAATTGGTAAGAATTTTTTATAAATAAACTAAAAATTTAAGAACTTTTTAAAATTTCAAATATGTATAAAATTAAACAGTATAATGGGTCTCTCTGGCCCATCATTTTCCTTCAGTAATTTTCAACTTTAGGCCATGCATTTTTTTGTGCACCCTCAGTCATTTTTCCTTTTCTAGGTTATTTTGAAGCACATTTTAGATATTGCTTATTTCTCTCTTTTTAAATATTTATTTATGCATATAAGAACTAGGGTGTAGGAAGAGACTGGGGGTAGGTGAGAGGATTAGAAACAGAGTAAGGAGTAGAACAGGCAGAACTACTGAAATACACTGCTGAGGGGAGCAATGGGCGGGTCAGCAGAGGTCTGCTGCACCATGTGGATCAGCTCCCTGGCGGGGATCTAATTTGTTCCGCAGTGGCTGGTAATAACTTCATAGCACTGAAACTTTGACCCCAATGCCACCAGGGAGGCAGAGATAGCATTTATTTCATTTTTGAAAATTAAAAGTGTCTCTAAAAGAACTGTTTTTAAAAACATTGCCATTGTTCTGTAGGATATTCTTTTTTCCTTGCAATTTATATGTTAATTACAACAAATTAAGTTTTCTAGGAACTGGACTCAATTCAGGATTTGTTTTGTTTTGTTGCTAATTTTTGTCAGACAGATTCATGAGTGTTTTACTCCTACAGGAGTCATGATCTCTTTCTGTGATACTAGGAGTCGTAAATACCTCCAATACTAGATCAAAGCACTCAGTAAACTAATTCTTTTTTTATCTATTATATGGCATATGTCTATAAAGAAAATTTTCTCTCATGTCTTCTGTTTGGTTTTCTAAAGATGCAGTTTATATTAGAAAGCAGGAAAAATGTTTAATTTTTTTTTGTAACTTATTAATTTTCAGAATAACAAATTGAGTTCCTAGCAATGTCCAGTGATCAGTTGATTTGGAGAAGTAGGATATAATAAATTCACTGAATTAAATATTTATATCCATTGTTGTTATCTTTATTGTTTATCCCATCTTTGTTCAGATACAAATCTATATAAGTTGGTGCCTTGATCCCTTTGACCACTCTAGTAACCTTTTTGTAATATATTTTAATGTTTCCTTGTTGTTTTTTTTTTAAGATTATTTATTCATTCATACAGAACTGGGGTACAGGCCAGAGATGAGGAGGGTGAGAGGATTCACCAGAGACAGAGTGGGGAGCAGAACAGGCAGATCAACGAAGTACACTGCTGAGGGGAGCAGCCGGCGGGTCAGGAGAGGTCTGCCGCCCCATGTGGTCACCTCCCGGGCAGGCGGGGATTGAACTCATGCGGAAGTGGCTTAGGCTTCTTAGTGCTTTAACCCGCTGCGCCACCAGGGAGGGCCTATTTTCTTTGTTATAACAAAATGTTTCATGTTCATGGTATAGATTTCTTTCCCCAGACTAGAATCAGCTGTTTCTCTATCTCTAAGAAATATTATTTTTAGAACAAAAGATATTTGAAGACTTCAGTTTGAGCAGTTAAGGGTACTCATTACTGAGCTGGTCATGAACTTTTTATTTAAACTTTTTTTAAAATAAGATTGATTTATTTGTGCATACAAAACAGGCCAGAGGTGCAGGGGCGGTGAGAGGATTCACCAGAGACAGAGTGGGGAGCAAAACAGGCAGATCGAGGAAGTACACTGCTGAGGGAGCAGTGGGCCGGTCAGTAGAGGTCTGCTGTGCCATGTGGTAACGTCTGGGGTGGGCAGGTTTCAAACTCATGCTGAAGTGGCTTTCGCTTCTCAGCACTGTGCTTTAACCTGCTGCGCCACCAGAGAGGGCCTGGTCATGAACTTTTTATTCTGACTGATATACACAACTTATAAGGTCTAGATTGGTCTTGTCTATATTTATTACTTTGATTTATAAATCTGCTCTTCAGTGTAAAAAAAAATTTGATACTGTATTAAAAGGAGTCACAATATTACACAAAATATTGTCCCATCTATTTAGAATTGGTAGGAGGAAGATAAAAATTACATGTTCTTTGGTATTATTTGCATCTAAAATGCAAATATTTCTTTATAAAACATTGAAAAGGAAAAATCATATATGTCATTGCTCTGTCATGTTGATAGAAAAAATTTTCTTGAAATTAGGGTCTACTACGTGGTTATTAATTTCTCTTACAGTCTTTGGACTGAAGGATATTCATTGTAAAGTGTTTTTCCTTCTTTAGATTTTTATTAGGGTATGCTACCAATAACAATGGCCCTGAAATAAATGACTTGGAACGGCTAGAAAGAGAAGTATAATCTAATTTAGAAGTATTCTTCATAACATAGAATTAAATTGATAATATTACTTCTTTGTTTTTATATTTTTAAGGATCCTTTAGGAAAAAGGCCCAATCCTCCCCCTGTTTCTGTGCCGTACTTGAGTCCTCTAGTGCTTCGTAAAGAACTTGAGTCTTTGTTAGAAAATGAAGGTGATCAGGTGATTCACACATCCTCTTTCATCAATCAACATCCTATCATTTTCTGGAACCTCGTTTGGTATTTCAGACGTTTGGACCTTCCTAGTAACTTGCCAGGGCTTATCCTAACATCAGAACATTGTAATGGAGGTATACAGGTAGGCTATCAGCCTCTTTACAATACATTGGTGTTGGTTAGGAAGAGGTTTAATCTAAAGTAGCAGAGTAAACAGAGAGCTATTTGTGTCTCATTTAAGAGTTTTAAGAGATGGTCCAGTGTTAAAGTCCTGAGATGATGATGATTCTTTTTTGCTCAGCTGTGCATGACTTCCACTTCCAATTCTGCACTTAGTGGATGACTGGTTCTGTCCACACAAGCTGTCACATCCACGTTCCACATCTCCACATGAAGAGGAAAATGGATAAAAAAGACGTTTCTTTATTTGGGGGCCCCTTCTGGAGTTGCAAATACTTCCATATATCTGTTTGAACAGAACTTAGTTCTGTGGTCATAACTAGTTAACAAGGGTGGCTAGAAAAGGTATCTTTTCCTCTGAAATATCATTCCCATCAGATTCTCACTTCAACCTTATTAAAAGGACTTCTGTTTTTCAGGTGATTCCATTAGAGAAACAATTTCTGCAGGGTCACACAGCTAAAAAGCCCTGTGGAGCCAAGATTCAAGTCTGGCTTTCTGACTCTCATAAAGCCTCTATTCTTCTTGTTCTGGGATCTCCAATTCTGTTGGAGACAGTGTCCTTCTGGAGTCTCTCATTTTATCATACTGAATATTGAGAAAAACCCTATACTCCAAACATGACACCAGTGTCAATAGTATCTTATTACAAACCCTATTTTGACTCACTTAAGTTGTTGTCAACACAATCAGGTAGAAATGATTGCCCTTCTTAAAATAATGGTAATTAGTTTTTCATGTAGCCATTATGCCAGTTACCAAGTTGTCATTCTGAATCTTGGAAATCAGAATGAGAAACTTGCATCTCAGAAAATAATAAGAACCTTTATCTTGCTATAAATAAAAATTTTAATTTTTGCTTAGTATTTTAGGCCCTTATCTATTATGTATAATCAAGCATTAGTAGGTCCATTGGTAAATATTGTGCTTGGATTACTAATACTTTCTCTTTCTTTCAGCTTCCTCTGTCATCTCTCTCCCAGGATAGCAAACTTGTGTATATTCAGTTGTTATGGGATAATATCAACCTTCATCAGGAACCAGGAGAACCTCTATATGTCTCATGGAGGAATTTTAGTAAGTAAAATAGTTACAGACATTAAAGGCTCTAACTAGAAGTAACCCAAATATCTATCCAAAGGTAAATGAGTGAGCAAATTGTGATATATATTCCATCTATATAGTATAATACTATTTGCCAATAAAGAAAAAGGGACTACTATGAGGAGAGGAGGGAGAGTATGATTAAAGAAATCAGAGAGACAGTATTTTGCTTTCTAAAAATGTTTTCATTAGTTTTTAGTATCTTTTCAAGATTCTTTTCATTTTAGTTCAAAGTGTTTTCTAAAAACAGAAAATATAAACCTGTATCAGGATGGCAAAATTTTAACAATACAATTTAATATAACGTTAGACATAACATTTAATATACAAATACCTTTTAACTTAGCAGTCACAGTAAGTTGTTTCTGTTCTATAGAAATGGAATATACAATATTGTATATATAGTAGTGTTTATTGGAGGGTTATTTATGCTATTGAAAATCTTTAAATATCTTAGAATTGTGGCCAACCTATACTATGGAATGTTGGTAGCCAAGAAAAAGAGTTATTTGTACACTACACTCGATCTTAGTCAAAGACTGAGATGTGATCCTGTGTACCATAGGAGTGAACCTTCATGATGCTGTGTTGGACAGATCTTACATAGCACCACTAAAAACAAAAGGAAAAAGTAGATAAATTGGACTTAAAAGCAAAACCATCATAAAAGTAAAACATTGGTCCACTGAATGGGGGAAAATATTTGTAAATACACAGTAGTAGGGATCCGCATTACATGCAGAATATGTAAAGAATGCTTAAAACTCAATAATAAGAGCACAGCCATATGAGCAGTTGGCAAAAGTTCTGAGTCCAATTTTGCCACTATAACAAAATGCCACAGACTAGGTAGTTTTTAAACTGCAATCTGTTTTTCATAGTTCTAGAAGTTGGACATCCAAGGTTAAGGTGCTGTCATGATCAGTTGAGAGTCCACTTCTGAGTTGCAGACTTCTCATTCTTTCCTCACGTTGAAGGAATGGGTGCCTTTTTTAAAAAGGCACTAAATTCTGTTCACATGATCCTACCCTCATGACCTAATCACCTCCCAAATTGCCCCACTTCCTTATACTACCATATTGGAAATTAGGTTTCAATATAAGAATTTTGTGACACATATTCAGGATCTGATTAGCCAGTTCTCCAAAGAACAAGAGAATAAGGTATTCCATACCACTGACAACAGGACATGTAAATCAAAATCGTGAAGAGCTGTCACTTCACATTCACTAGATAGGCTAATCAAAATGATGTAACAAGTTGCTAGATGTAGAGCTGTAGAGAAGTTGAAACCCTGATGTACTGCTGATTGAAGTAAAAAATATTTCAGCTGCTTTGGAAAATAGTTTCACAGTTCCTCAAAACAGTTATATCAATAGTGATCAATAGTGGCACTCTTAGGTATAGACCCAGCAGAAATGAAAACATAGGTCCACACAGATGTTAATAACATTTTTCTTAGTAGCCTAACAAAGGAAACAGTGTGTCCATCAGCTGATGAATGAATAACCAAAGTATGGTATACCCATATAATGAAATAACTATTTGGCTATAAAAATAATGAATAGTGTTATACATGCTACAACATGGGTGCATGTGAAAACATTATAGAAGCCAGTCACAAGAGAGCACAGAAAGTAGGATTTCATTTATGTGAAATATTCAGAAAAGGCAAATAAGGAGACAAGAAGTAGATGAGGTTGATTCAGGCTGAGGGGTTGATGAATGACTTAAGAGGTTTCTTCTGGAAGTGATAAAAATGTTCTAAAACTATTGGTGGTAATGTTTGCACAATGTTTGGATATACTAAAAACCACAGACTTGGACATATTCATCAAATGAGTGAATTGAATAACTTGGGAATTGTATTTCAATTAGGGCATAATTTTGAAAATTACATGAAAGAAATTATGAAGTTGCATATTATATTTGGGTTAGGCTCTAAAATCACAGCATTGCATGAAAATCAAATCTATTGAAAGACCATAATTTAGCATTATCAACTTCAAAACAAGACCTCTAGTAAAAAATGAGTTTACTAGGGAATATCAGAAGGATTATGGTTTAGGAGCTGCAAGTTAAAGTGGCCCTTAGATAAATCCAAGTGAAGGTTGGTTTTTATGAGGCTTTTGGAGGAAATTGGGCAGGGCTGTTTTCAGTAAAAGTTCATTGGAGGAGAGTAAGAGTTTAGATTTTGGTGTTTTCTCTTGTCTACAAGTTTTTTGGCAGCTGAGGTTTGTGAGAAGCAAGGAGTGGCACCTGAGTGAGAAGCCTCCTTTTGTAGCTTCCCAGTATCTTTCTGATTCAGGTTTCCTTTATTCAACTTTCACAGCAAGTAAAGGAGCTGAGATCAAACCACAAAGTAACCAGTATCTACTCTTATAATGGAGAACTTTGTTCTTTCTTTGGTTGAACACCTTTATTAAAGGGGCTATGTTGTATGGAAGAAACAACTTGCTTATGACAGCTTAGAATGGGAATATGGACACATATTCCCATGTCACACTAACATGAACGTAAATAAGACCTTATGACTTTTGCTGTTACCTTCAGTGTTAAGATGTTTCCTTTTTCTGGGCCAAGCACAATTGCTGATTTTATGTGTTTTTTTGTCAGTATGATTCAGTTCCATTTGCCATTGAAGTACTTTCATAATGTATGAGTTCTTTATAAATGTTTGCTTTTAAATATTTCTAGAGTTATCCTCATCAATTAGGATTATGTTCTGCTATATTTAATAGAAAATTACGGAAGATTAAGTAAGTGAAGATTATTTTCCCACATAAAGAAATTAGGAAGTAGACACTCCTGGACTAGTAGGAAATGCCTTTGTCATCAGGGACTCTGACTCCTTCCTTCTGTTGCATGCGTATCACTGTCAGTAAAGTTTACTTGATGGTCACATGAAGCTGATGTACCAACTATCACCCCACTGCTAAGCACAAAGCTAAATTTTGAAGGAGGAGCAAAGGAATAGCCCGTCTCCTCTCTGAAGAGACCAGGAAAAATACTTTTTAGTTGATTACATTGGCCACATACATTTTACAAGTAAGGGGAAGGCAATATTGAGTGGAAAAAAAAATGAGTAGAAAAGTGCTATAACTCTGGGGGAAAATCTGTAACTGCATTGGATAAATGTGCTCTTAATTACTGTTTTCTTCTTATTAGATTCTGAAAAGAAATTGTCTTTCCTGTCAGAGGAACAACAAGCAACAAGCACTTTAGTAGAAACCATCAGGCAGAATATTCAACATAATGATGTTGTTAAACCCATCCTACTGCTTTCACAGCAAGTAAAGCCAGACATGAAAAGACAAAGGTAATAATTTATTTACTTGATAGCACTTAAAACAATTCCATGGGTTTTACAATTAATTTTTAAATATCTGTTGTAATAGAAACACATCCTCATTATAGAACATTGTTTTAGAAATGTGCTATTTAAATAAATACTACATTCATACCTAAGCAGAGGCATAATAAAAGTATCTGTTGGGGGGGGCAATTAAAATTTAGTAGGTAACTCATTGAGATAACACATTTTATACAAAAGGTTCATGCAAAAAACCTTTTGGAAACATTACTGCAATTCATTGGAAAACTGTGAATTTAACATATGTATGAGTTGTTACACATGTATCACGTATATACTATTTATCAGGTCCTGCCACACACACCTTTTATCATAGATGATAAGGAAAATATATGGGTGTAGTCACAGAAACAACTTTGGAAAGTAGTAGGAGCAGTTAAGACAGGTAACTACAAAAAGTCTGAAGCTTTCCAGTCCTCTTGTTATTGTCTAACTTGTGTTGTTCAGTAATCACCCCTATCTGAGCATGTGAATTTTGTAGTGGAAACTTGAGAAAAGGGGACATAACCAATTCTACCAAACATGCCAGTGTTTCCAGGGTCTTCTGTTTTTTCAGTCATGGAATTGTTGAAGACAGACCATGAAAATAAATGGTTCCCACTGTAATGTAAAGAAAAGAAAGACAAGACCTTCACAATCTGCAGAGCAGCTAGTTTTAAGTACCTGTTGTTTAAGGGCAGGAAAAAAACCTATTAGGTATGACATGTTATGGCTTCTAAAGCTTCTAAGGAAAGCTACACATGAAGTATTGGAATATTACTCTAATTATTTTCTATGTAAATACTCAGAAATCAGTTAAGCGTTGCCCTCATAATTAACATTTATATGTGGTATCATATAAATTTATATATTTATTCACAAGCCTAATAAAGGTAATTTGCCTATATCATTTAATTAAATAGTATACCATACTACTTTTCACACTGTTCAAGGATTTTAGACCTAACAACTTAGAAATTCTTGTTTTTGTCAAGTGGCAAAAGATTTGGCCTTTGTAGTTTTAATTAGAAATTAAGAGTTAAAAGCTATATACCAGAGACATTTTGTGGGGGTGGAGTGGGGAATGGGACCAAAAACAGTGGGGGGAGGGAAATGCACTGGACTATGGTGACGGCACATGGGTGATTTGGTGATGGAAAACCCAAGGGAATTGCAACTGAGATAGGAAAATGCACAAAAGTATGTAAAAATTAATATAATAATAAAAAGAAATTAGAGTTAAAGCAATCATATAGCTTATATTGTTATAGTGAAGTTAAAATAAATCCTTTTTGTGTTAAATTTTATGCACTTCAATTTTTTATTTTTTAAAGAGACTTATTTATTTATGCATACAGAAGTGGGGTACAGGTCAGAAGTTTAGGGGTGGTGAGAGGATTCACCAGAGAGTGGGAAGCCGAACAGGCGGTTAGACAAAGGACAAGACAGGAGAGGTTTGTTGCACCTTGTGGATCACCTCTGGGGCTAGGGATCCAGGATTGGGCTCTTACTGAAGCAGCTGCTGCTAGCTTGCAGCGCTCCCTCCGTTTTACCCCTCTGCACTACCAGGGAGGGGCCCTTTAACTTTTTAATGGAAATTTTTCAAAAGTTGCAAAAATAGTAGTTTCTTATACCCTTTACCCAGATTTACGTAACTGTAGTTTAAGTGACATCTCACGTAACTAGTTCAGTGTCAAAACCAGGACACTGACATGGGTACATACATTACTGTTATCTAGGTTACAAAATGCAATCTTTTTATCTATATTTTAAATGGCCTTCATTTGTCTTTTTATGCTTTTTGCTCATTGTTTTAAAATTTTATTTTTATAGGAGTTTATACAGAGAAATACTCTTCTTATCATTAGTGTCTCTAGGAAGAGAGAATATTGATATTGGTAAGTTAATAAATGACTAGAGATTTTATTTTAAAAATTGTCATAAGTATGGGTTAAAAAGCTATCTACTTTCTAAATATGTAGTTTGAATATATAAAATATTTTACTCTACCACTTTCAAATACATGACTGTAATAACAAACTACTTTTGAAAATGTCTTCCAGAGGCTTTTGACAATGAATATGGAGTTGCATACAATAGTCTATCTTCAGAGATTCTTGAGAAGTTGCAGAAAATCGATGCTCCACCAAGCATTAGTGTGGAATGGTGCAGGAAATGTTTTGGAGCACCTCTCATTTAAGTAACATTCACTAAAGTTTTGGTCACAAAGCTAGGAGAGAACAGATTCAATCTGGAAGCATTTAAAGGGTTTTACTAATTCCCTAATAGATGAAATGCTGAAGTGAATGTTGGGAGTATATAATGAAATGTAATTCCACTGAATCATCTCACAATGTAAAAATGCTACGCCGATAACCCGTTTATTGATGTGGGAAGATTTTCACCTTTACCTGCCTCTGCTCAAAACTGTTTGATTTCCCAATGTTTGAAGTAGCTTGGTAATGAGAATCACATTCACCCTTGGTATTATTTGTATTAGAAGCTATTAGGTTTGGGGAATGACAAACTTGTCTAATCCCCAAACAAATGAAATCTCTCAATTATAAGAGCAACTCTGTTTATGTGTATATATTTGTGGCTGTTAGGTGTGTGTATATACAGCCATATTACAAGTATGTATTTATTTAGATTGCACGTTGCAATACAATTTTCTGAAAGGGGTCTCTATTAAATGGCTTAGTACTTAGTCAACCTCAAAGTTACCTTAAAGTCTGTTGAGTTACCTTGTCTCTGACTTTAAACTTTTTATCTTCCCTCCATATTGTCTAGTCTTGCATTATGGATTTTATCTTGAATACCCACTTACCCCTTCCAGTACATTAATTTACAGCAGCTTTAAAATTGGAAAATGAGCCAATCAGACACTTTAAGTGAATTAAATCTGCTTTCTAGTTTACATAACTGGAGCATGCTTAAAATGCTCATGTAGTCTTTGGTTCTTAAATTGTTCTGGCACGTTACCAGTCACTTTTAAAAACCTGTGGGATGAACTTGCACTGCACATGGTTTTGTTCTTGTATAATATTTAGATTTGTATGCTTTTGAGTAAAATGTGCATTTGTAAATAACTTTTTTAGTTTGAATCAATTAAGTCTTAAAACTTTAGTCTAACTTGTTGCCAGTAGGTTTAAGAAAATCATGACCTCACCCACCTCACATTTATCATGCCTTTAAAATATCCTTTACGAACAGTAAGTTGCCTTAACTCTGTGTGGTTTAAAAAGCCAATGGTTGTGTGAGTTTGTTATTACCCAGACTAAATCATCTGATGGAAAAATTTATTTCTAGATATACAACACAAATGTCCTTCCACCCAGTGTAATCTAAACCTTGATGTGCCAGTGTCATCATTTCAGGGTTAACTAAGATCTGTGGAGAATTGTAGTTTCAACTGGTGAAAGAACATACCAGAAATTATGTAATCCCCCATCTTCAAAATGGACATTTTGTACTGTCTCAGAGTTAACTATTTTCTCAATTATAAGACTTGGTACTAGTATTTTATACTGAACATTTAAATGACCCAACATAAAGTTTGGAATTCTTGCAAAAAAAAAAAAATGAATTTGAATAAAATGAAATTTTTAAGTTTGCTGTGCTTGTTTGTTACATTTTTAAGACTCATAAAATACTTGATTCACTTGGAACTTTTGTAATACGCATTTGCTTTCCCACTTTAGTCCTGAGTTACCTCTTCTAGTATTCTGTAGCTTACACATTTGACTATACTGTCATATTACACATTTAGAAACTTTCTAGTAACTTTGTAAAATTACTGTTAGGCCTTTTATACTGAAATCTTTCCCTGCTGGCTTAGAAAAAGGCTTTGTCAAAACTACCTTTAAAGTCCTTCTCTAACACCACAGAGTATCCACTAAAAAACAGCCCTAGATATATTGTCTAGAGAACAGATTTAAATGATTTGTAGCACTGTGTGAAATGCAAACATTTCAAATTAGACCACATTGCTTATATTGGTTTTGGATATTATATTGACTTAAATTGCATCCTGTAGTTTGATTACAACAGTCTGCCTTTGCCAATCATCGCCCCTTTACTTCATCTTTGGTATATACAGTGTTGAGCTGTGTAAAACATTTCCCCTATAGCAATTTCTCAATGTAAATCTGCCAGAATTTCTAACTAGAGCAGCCTAGAGACCCAACCTATTTAGTGACTTGTACTCCTTGCAATAAGGAAGCAGGTTTGGGTGGTTCTCATGCTTTGTACAGATTCAGTCAGGTTTACTATAGAGCAAAGAAAGGACTGGCAACAGCTGAAAACAGTAATACAAAACCAGGGGCTCCACCCCAAACTAATTTATTACAAATGGTATTTTAGATCCCAGTTGATCTAGATGCTCATTTAAATTGTGAAACACTGCCTCAGTCTATCTGAAAAAATTTTATGACCTGTGGTTGAAACACACTCCAGCAAATAAGCAGTTCCTTTACATACCAACCATTAAAACCTAACCTGCCTTTTTAAAGAAGCTGCTAGTAAGGTTAATAACTGTAAATAAAGTCACTTTAGAAACTATACATGGTACATTAGAAAGGTTATATTTTTAAAGAGGTAAAAAGTTAACTCCTTTTCAGAGTGTAACACAACAAAAAGCATGAATAACAATTCACTTGACTTGAACTGCTTTTTTAATGCAGTAAATTTGCACTGGCTCTAAAAAGTTGTGAACTGTTTCCATTAAAATATGCTTTTTAAAAGTTATCCTTTTTACATGTGGCAAATGTCCTTTTTTTTTAAACAAAAGAATGTATGTATTGTGTATTCTTCAAAATAAAGTATAAAAATGATTACTGTTGTCATTTATTACTTTCTCTAAATTATTCCAGTCTTGCTTTTAGAGACAATACCTTTTGCTAAGAATCCTGAGTCCTTCACTAGTGCCAGAAAAACACCTCTGTGGAGTCTTTCCCTCTATTACAATATTGGACTCAGTCTCTAAATTTTAATGCCAGTTTCACTACCACTTATAGATAGTATCTACCATTAGACTTTTGTATACAATACACCCAACCCAAGTTTCTCCTCACTGAAGTTTTACCATCAATGAAAATCAAAGGAGGTTTTGATGTCTCATCTTATTTATTTGTTACTTTTAGAAAATCTCATTTTTGACTGGACTCAGACTTGGAGGTGGAAGCTCTCAAAGAAGACAGCCTCCGTCTCTTGGCAATCTGTTCCTGGCGTTTCTCTTTGGCCTCCTAAACAAACAAACAAACAAACAAACAAAAAAAGTTAAAGCCTGTCCAGGTTAATGAATGCAAACCCAATACTAGATCTGACACTTCGCCATTCTCTACCACCTGAGGACTTACCTTCATTCTCTTGGCCAAAAGTTTAGCATACTCTGCAGCTTCCTCCTTATTTTTCTTAGTACGCTGTTTCTTGAGAGCAATACGCCGACGTTTGTGCTGCAGAACACGTGGAGTAACAAGACGCTGAATCTTGGGTGCTTTGGTCCTGGGTTTCTTGCCTAAAGATTTAGAGAATGACTCAATCACTTAAAAACCCTGGTTCATTGGGAATAACGCCTACCTTCTTAAAACACTGAATCAGGTGCAAATTTCAGTTAATAATAACTAAAAGCTTTGAAATCTATTCAACTATTTGAAGTACGCCTGTCAAGTCCCTTTCTCCCACCCAAAATGGGTTCATGTTGCCAAAATACAAGGAAAACTAAAAATAACCAGGATGACTTTATTACTAATGCCAGTGTTTTATTACTTGGAAAAATGCTTCCTAAGAGAGCCAAATGAATCATACTAATAGTGCATTAGCTGTACCAGTCATCTGTAATGCAAAATCCTATAGATTGCAGACCTGCCTCAAACATCTTTCCAGATAAAATAAACCTTGAGGGAGTAATAAACACCTCAGGCAAATGTCCTAAAACTTACAGTAACTTAAATAATTCTTATTATAGAGATACTAAGAGAAAATCTTAAAAGCTGTCAAATTATCACATTTTTAGGAGTGAAAGTATAAAACTACCATATATATTCCTTTAAGAGTAAATTTCATGAAATAGTAGCTGTTTACATAGTACCTTCAACATTTAAAATGGTACCTGTCACACAGATCTTCAAGTATCTGCAATTACGAGGGGAACAAACACTACATACCAGGTGCATGTTAAGTCCCCCAGTACTGAAAACAAAAGCCCACTCTTTTATCAGGAAAACCTAACCTGAATCAACATGCTGTATTTATTCCACTTAAACATCAGACATTTCCCTACAGAATTAGTTAAATTTATGAAGTATTGCCACAATCTCACTGGCTTATGTTGCCCAATAAATGTACATTCCTTCTTAAAATATAAACCTCTAAAACCCAACCATCTACTTCCTGGCATTTTAGATAACCTATTTTCCAACCAATTCTCCCAACTTTTGCTACTGACACCCCAGATGAAAAAGACGTATTTCTTTTAGCAACAAAAATCCTCTGATGTGAACAACAGAAGTCTGCAGTACATGTCTTGGAGGGCAGGGGGTCTGTTTAATCAGTCCTAGAATTTTCTATCCTTTTAAACCTGAAACCAAAATCAATAAACTTGACATCACATTATTTTGAAGTGAACTTACATATCCAGGCTATGAAGACAAATGTTCATTTTCAACATCTCCCTCATGTTTTCCTAAAAACGCAAACTTCCCAGTTAATAACTGGGCACATTTTATCTATCTTACACAAAACTAGTGACATGTCAGGATATTGCAGGCAGTGGTGACAAATTGTTGAAATAAAGCCATAAAAACCGGTACATCCATTCCCTTACCCTCTTTGTTTAGGGGCTTCCTCACAACATACTGGCGGACATCATCTTCTTTAGAGAGATTGAAGAGTTTTCGGATTCTGCTAGCTCTTTTGGGCCCCAGGCGGCGAGGCACAGTTGTATCAGTGAGTCCAGGAATATCCTTCTCTCCTGAAAAGAAAATAGACAAAGACATTTTAATTCAACAACTTCCTTACTTACAAACAACCCTCATGACAAGTAGATAGCTCAAGCTGGAGACAATCTTAATGAGCAAAGTCCCTTAGCCCATCGGTTTTAAATCACTGTCCACACAAACTCAAGAACCCATCTTCAAGGAGCTGCACCTTTTTTCACAATGACCAAGTTGAGAACGCTCAGGTTGGCATCCACAATACAACCGTGTACAGATTTGCGTTTCCTTTCACCAGTCCTCCTGGGTCTGTAGCACGAATGCCCCTTGCTGAGCAGCAGGCGGACCCGACCAGGGGTCAAGACACCCTGCTTCATGGGGAAACCTTGTTTGTCATTTCCACCACTGATTCGAACCACATAACCCTGCAGAAAAAAAGACATTGCCTTCTATCACTGTGGCCTCTATGAAAATACACTCTCAATTCAAGTTATGTAGTCTGGTAAAATCCATGAGACCTTTCAATAAGCTTAAAAGTTTGCTCGTCACTAAGTTTTGCCTGCATTTCCCATGTTACATTTGTAAAAATTCCTGTCTAAATCCTAGTCTCCTTTGATCCACACAATCCCTCTAGGCGACAGCCCTACCGTAGAAAGTGACATTTAGAAGTAACTAACCCAAGGTCAGAAGACAGAAACCGGAGTTTGAGCGTCATTACACTGTCCCATTACTAAAAGCCTATCTTCCACAAGTTCATTCAGTGGACACCATTTACCTTCCATTCTTCACCCAGAGCGTCAGCGGCAACCTCTGTGGCCATACGCTTGTCATAAAAGGTACGAAGTTTGCGTTCATCGTCCACTTCAATGAGTTTCTGGCAGCCAGTGGCTGGGTAAGAGATGTTCAGCTAAGGGGTAAGCGGGGGGGAACAACTAAATGAAAAAGCAGGACCAGCCACGCGAGAAATTTCACTGCAAAGAGCCCTTCAGGTCACACCGATCAGCAGAAAATCTGATACCGATTATATTTACTTAAGCACGTGTGGGCCTAGCAACACTCAAGCCGGGAGCTAAAAACTGTATATATCTTTCCGCAAGCTTCACGGAATGACTCCGGGGGTGGAAGGTAGCCCCGAAGTGGTTCGTTCACCTTTCCGAAGCGAGCCCAACCCTAGGGACCGCCAATCGGGTAAGCACCCTCATATACGTCCCCGCCGGACACTAGGACGGCACCATGGCGCTCCCGGCCCAGCGTTAACTTCAATCGCAATCGCTCGCCATCCGCTCGTCCAAAAAAGCTCCAGCTCCACAAAGACGAGCATTCTCTTGCCTCAGCCCACTCTCCATCTAAAGCCACGACTTTGGACGGCAAGGCCTGCAGCAGCGTCATGTTCTGGGGCTTGACCCTGACCCACGTTCTCCAAGATTGGACGAACGCCCGACACCATTTCCTACCTTCATCTTGAAGCACCCGACTGCCTCTCAGGCGCCACGAAAAAGAGGCCCGACTTCCGCTTAGCCCTGGTCTCATAGGCACTTGCACCTATCGCGAGATGGAAAGATGGCCTAAGCTGACGGAAGTGAGGTTACAGAACTTCCGGGGTGGAGTAGTGCGTAGTGGGAGGAGCGTTCCGCGTGCTGTTACCTTCTGGCTGTTGCCGTGGTGAAGTTTGGGTGCCGTTTTGCGTCTAAGAATTACACCTACCACCTCCTGAGCCTTCCGGTTCTTTTCTGAGCTGGGGCCGAGCCCCAACTGCGTCCCGAACTTTCTGCTTCCGGTACTGACTGCGGGAATTGACTTAAAGCTTTCTTCGGCTGTGCTGTCGCTCCAACTCTGCGCTGAGTTCCAGGAGACCCTCAAAGCCGTGATTTGTCTTTCCTAAAACGCTCGACCGTGTTAGTTTAACCTTTTTGCAGTGTGCATTGTTCTATCCAGAATGACCCTCTCAGCCACCCTGTCGCGCAACATAGTTTCTCCCAATCCAGAACACTTGCGTGCTTACTGTTCCTGCTTTCAGTCTGTCTCGCTTTTAAAAACCAAAGTTACATCACTCCTTTGATGGCAGTGCACCATATATTCCCCCATGGCAGTTAAATACTCTCCAACTTCTTAACCCTTGCCTCACTTTCCGCAGTCCCATTGTCAACTGGTCCTGTCCACAAGTACATTCAGGTCTCCGATGTCGCCTCCTAAGAGAAACCTTTCCTATCTACGTAAAGTAGTAGCCCTCTCCTTCCTTATTCTGTAGTATCATGCTGTTTTCGTTATGGTGTATGGTATCGTGATTCCCGAGTAGTTGCTTTATGGGCTGTCACCTACTTCTATGAACGTGAATATGCATATTTTCCTGAGATTCTGCTTTCAGTTCTTTTGAATATGTATTTACAGTGGGATTGCTGGATCATTTCATAGTCTGTCTTTAAATTTTTGAGGAGTCACCTTGCAGCTGTCTATCCATAACAACTTGCACTGTTTTATAAACCCACCAATAGTGTACATGAACTCTGCTCATTTTCAATTGGCATGTTTGTCTTACTGTTTGTTGAGTTGTAAAAATGTTCACGTATTCTATATCCTCATATATATATGATGCTATATCCTCATATGCAAATGTTTTCCCGTCTATAGGTGTCTTCCCATTTTCTTGGTGATATCCAAGAGTTTTTTTTTTTTTTTAAAGATTTACTTAGGGCCCTCCCTGGTGATGCAATGGGTTAAGTAAGGCATTCTACTAAGAGACAGGTGACCCACATGGCGCAGCAGACCTCTCCTGTCTCTCCCATTGCTCCCTTCAGCAGTATATTTTGCGAGTTTGCCTTTTCTGCTCCCCAGTCTGTCACTGGTGAGTCTTCTCATTATGTCTGGCCTGTACCCTAGTTCTCTATGCATGAATAAATAAATAAAAATTATTTATACATACAAGAACTGGGGTACAGGCTGAGGTGCAGGGGTGGTGCAAGGATTCATCCAAGACATAGTGGGGAGCAGAACAGGCAGATTAACTAAGTGCACTGCTGAAAGAAGCAGCGGGCAGGTCAGGAGAGGTCTGCCACAACATGTGGGTCAGCTCCTTGG